TCATTTTGAATGACTCATTGGACCAGATAGATTTAACAGACATATTCAGAACACTCCATCCTAAAACAGCAGGATACACATTCTTTTCAAGCACACATGGAACATTCTCCAGAAGAGATCACATATTAGGCCACAAAACAAGCCTCAACAAATTCAAAAGATCAAAGTCATACCATGCATCTTTTCTGACCATAATGCTATGAAACTAGAAATCAATCACAAGAAAAAACCTGGGAAGGGCACAAACACATGCAGGTTAAATAACATGCTACTAAACAATGAATGGGTCAACCAGAAATCAAAGAAAAAAATCAATAATTACATGAAAACAAATGAAAATGAAAACACAATGGTCCAAAATCTTTGGGATGCAGCAAAAGCTGTTCTAAGAGGAAGTTTATAGCAACACAGCCCTACTTCAAGAAGCAAAATCACAAACAACCTCACCTTACACCTAAAGAAGCTAGAAAAAGAACAAACCCCAAACCCAGCAAAAGGAATGAAATAATAAAGATCAGAGCAGAAATAAATGATACAGAAACTAAAAAAAAAAAAAAAAAAAGGAGATCAATGAAATCAGGAGCTGTTTCCTTCAGAAGATCAACAAAATTGACAAACTCTTAGCAAGACCCATCAGAGAGAGAGACAGACCAAATAAACAAAATTACTAATGAAAGAGGAGAAATAACCAATACCACAGAAATACAAACAATTCTAACAGAATATTACAAAAGCCTATATGCTAAACAGATTGGGCAACTTAGAAGAAATGGATAAATTCTGAACAGACCAGGTACTGGTAAGGAGATTGAACCAGTAATCAAAAAACTCCTAAAAAAACAACAGTCCAGGACCAGACAGCTTCACAGGTGAATTCTACCAAACATTTAAAAAAGAGTTAATGCCGATTCCTACCAAATGATTCCAAAAAATAGAAGAGGAAGGAAAACTTCTAAATTCTTTTTATGAGGCCAGTATCACCCTGATACCAAAATCAGATAAAGACACCACAAACAATAAAAATTACAAAAGAGAGAGAGAGAGAGAGAACACAATAGGCCAATATCTCTCATGAATATAGATGCAAAAATCCTCAACAAAATATAAGAAAACTGAATCCAAAAATATATTTAAAAAATCATGTACCATGATCAAGTGGAATTTATTCCCAGATGAAAGGCTGGTTTAATATTCACAAAACAATCACTGTGATATGTCACATCTAGAAAGGATAAAAAACCATATGATCATTTCAATAGATGCAGAAAAAGCATTTGACAAAGTACAACATCCATTCATAATAAAAATACTCTCTGCAAAGTAGGTCTAGAGGGAACATATGTTTACATAATAAAGGCCTTATTTGAAAAACCCACAGCAAACATCATACTTAATGGGGAAAAACTGAGAGCTTTTCCCCTAAGATCAGGAAAAAGACAAGCATGTCCACTCTCATCATTTTTATTCAACATAGTACTGCACATCCTAGCCACAGCATTAAGACAACATAAAGAAATAAAAGGTATTTAAATTGGTAAGGAAGAAGTAAAACCTTCACTATTTGCAGATGACATGATACTATATACAGAAAACCTTAAAGACTCCACCAAAAAACTACTAGAACTGATAAATGAATTCAGTAAATTTGCAAGGTACAAAATCAATGTACAGAAATCTGTTGCATTCCCATACACTAATAATGAAGCAGCAGAAATTGAAAATAAAAAAACAATCCTATTTACAATTGCACCAAATACATTAAATATCTAGGAATAAACCTAACCAAAGAAAGACCTGAATTCTGAAAACTATAAAATACCAATGAAAGAAATTTAAGACAAGGCAAAGAAATGGAAAGACATTCATGCTCATGGATTGGAAGAACCAATACTGTTAAAATGTCCATACTACCCAAAGCAATCTACAGATTTAATGCAATCCCTATTAAATACCAAGAGCATTTTTCACAGAACTAGAACAATCCTAAAATTTGTATGGAACCACAAAGGACCTCAAATAGTCAAAGCAGCCTTGAAAAGGAAAACAAACCTGGAGGTATCACAATTCCAGATTTCAAGTTATATTACAAAGCAGTAGTGATTAAAACAGTAGGGTATTGGCATAAAAACAGACACACAGATCAACAGAATAGAAAAGACCAGAAATAAACCCACAATTATGCCAGACAATTATATGGTCAATTAAACTTCAACAGAGGAAGAATAAATATACAATGGGAAAAGACAGTCTCTTCAACAAATAGTGTTGGGGGAAAACCACAGCAACAGGCAAAAGAATGAAATTGGACCACTTTATTTCACCAGACACAAAAATAAACTCCAAATGGATTAAAGACCGAAATGTGAGGCCTGAAACCATAAAAATCCTTAAAGAGAACACAGGCAGTAATCTCTCTGACATGGGCTACATCAACACTGTTCTAAATGTCTCTTGAGGCAAGAGAAATAAAAGCAAAAATAAACTACTCAGACTACATCAAAATAAAAAGCTTCTGCACAGCAAAGGAAGCAATCAACAAAACTAAAAGGCAGCCTACTGAATGGGAGAAGATATTTGCAAATGACATATCTGATAAAGGGTTAGTATCCAAAATATACAAAGAACTGATACAACTCAACACACAAACAAAAAAACATATAATCCATTTAAGAAATGGGCAGAAGACATGAACAGACATTTTTCCAAAGAAGACATACAGATGGCTAACAGACACGTGAAAAGATGTTCAACATCACTTATCACAGGGAAATGCAAATCAAAACTACAATGAGGTATCACCTCACACCTGTCACAATGGCTAAAATGAAAAACAAGTATTAGCAAGGATATGAAGAAAAAGGAACCCGCATGCCCTGTTGGTGGGAATGCAAACTGGTGCAGTCAATCTGGAAAACAGTATTTTTGAGATTCCTCAAAATATTAAAAATAGAACCCGTATAATCCAGGAATTGTACCATTAGGTATTTACCCCCAAAATACAAAAGCACTAATTAAAGGGATACATGCAACCCTATGTTTATTGCAGCATTATTTACAGTAGCCAAACTATGGAAACAGTGAAGTGTCCACTGATAGATGAAGAGATAAAGAAGATGTGGTATATATATGCAATGGAATATTATTCAGCCATAAAAAGAATGAAATCTTGCCATTTGCAACAACATGGGTAGAGCTAGCGTGTATAAAGCTAAGCAATAGAAGTCAAAGAAAGACAAATACCATATGATCTCACTCATTCCATATGTGGAATTTAAGAAACAAAACAAACGAGCAAAGGGAAAAAAAAGAGAGACAAACAAACAAACAGACTCTTAACTATAGAGAATAAACTGGTTATCAGAGGGGAGGTGGGTGGGGGAAATGGGGGATGGGGATTAAAGCGTATGCTTATCATGATAAAATAAAGTGATAAAAAAATTAGTTATTAAATCATACATGTTTAAAAATTTTTTTAAGTTTATTGTGCTTCCTCCTGTTTATAAAAGTAAATTTTGCTCCTTGTAAAGGAACAAAAAATTAGAATTGTACAGGACTATAATTTATAATTTTTTTTAAGTTAACAACAAATTATGAAACATTTACCATGAGTTTACATAGTGTTTTACCTGATCTTTAATATTTGCATTGTATTTATGGAATAAATATGACATAATTTGTTTACTTAGTCTTATAAATTGTTGGAAACTTAGGCTGTTTCTAATTTACAGAACTATATATTATTTATAAATGATTTTACACATCTGATAATTTCTTTGGATTTTGTCACCTGTAAAAATAAGTAGCAGACAATGTCCTTACCTTGATTACTTAAATTGTTAACTAATAAAAGAATAAAAATGGAGTCTTATGAAAAGTCTATATGAGGGAATGTTTTCCAGGTTGTATTTGTATTAATTCATGATTACCATTCCTTGGATATAGGTCGGCTGGCACCTAATTACATCATCTTCCAACCTGTATTTCTCCATCTTTTCCACAGTTATGTAAGAGACTTCATTACATATAATTCTAATATCCAGCTGTATCATTTTTACAGAATCTATTTCACCTGTGTTTCTAGTATCCTATCATAAAAGCATAAGGAGGCATCAATTGTTCCAAGCGAATTCACACAGGTTTTCTTTTCTAAAGGTTATTAGAGACAGATGAGGCAAACACAGGTGCTCCAAGGAAATCAGAGTGGAAGCATTGCTCCCACAGATAGGGCAGAGCTGAGAAGCTGATGTGCTGAGAAATAAGAAAGAATCCATATCAGAATAGTAATTATAAGACTCCCACAATTATATCATCATATACTGCTACCATAATATATACTCTCAGCTTAAGCCACTGAGAATAACCTGAAGGAGAAAAGGCCAAAGTAAAATTGACATATTTAAGTAATGGCACAATATATCTTTGGAATATAATACTTTCTACGTTAGTGACTGATTGGTTTAAATGTTAGCCTAACAGCGCCTATAATTACGGTCGTGTGTCTGTAATCAATAAACAGTGGTGAAGAACAGAGGCATTTCCTTGAGTTCCTTAGTCAGGTGTACATTGGTATAGACCACAAGTCCGCAGTTTTTCTGTAGACAGCCAGATGGCAAATATTTAATCTTGTGGGTCACATAGTCTTCACTGCAGCTATTCAATGCTACCATTGTGGTACAAGAGCACCATAGACAGTATGTAAATGAATGGGTGTGGCTGTATTCCAGTAAAACTTCTTTTACAAAACAGGCAGTGGGCTGGATTTGGTCTATAGTTTGTTGACCACTAGTGTAAACACCGAGAGGTAAATATCTAGTGCAAAATGGTACATAATGTCTTGAACATGTCCTAAAATCCCAAATGAGCAAGGGATATTGTGTAGATGAGTGCAACTGTACTTTCCTATGATATTACAGGAATCACAATTTCATATTCAGTGAACTCAATATATAGTTGAACCAATTTCTCTAGATATCATCAAAACCTGAGAATCATTTATTTACCTGTGCATAATCACCAAAAGGTTGAGAATAAGAAATGCACTTTTCCAATGTGTGCTGTGATTCATTTCCCTGAGAGATCGCATCCAGATTATTGCTTGCAATTCCAGTCTTCTGTAGAGTGGTTTTACTTGCAGGGGCTAAAGGCAAACATCAATAATATTTTTAGCTAAAAGTTGTTTTGTTATAAATTATAAACAAAATACAAAACTCATTAATTCAACATATTCCCAAACAGAACACAGATTTTCATTTGCCAGGATATATCTATATTTCTTATCCCCAGGAGAAGAATATATAGTATATGATGTTGTCTTGTTCATTTAAAGCAACTGAAAATGGAAGTTTGCCTTATGGATAAATAATTTTGATGGAAATATTTTTAAGATATGTGTCTAATCTCTAAAAGAGGCAAACAAAATGTAAACTAATCATTCTTGTTAATGCAATAGTTGTAACCATCAATTTTTATTTTTTTATTTTTTTAAAGATTTTATTTATTTATTTGACAGAGAGAGACACAGCGAGAGAGGGAACACAAGCGGGGGGGGGGGCAGGAGAGGGAGAAGCAGGCTTCCCACTGAGCAGGGAGCCCCATGTGGGGCTCGATCCCAGGACCATGGGATCATGACCCGAGCCGAAGGCAGATGCTTAACGACTGAGCCACTCAGGTGCCCCGTAACCATCAATTTTTAGACCAGATAAAAATGTAGTAGGTATAGGAGAAGCACATTAAATTTTTTTCTGGCTCTTTTAAAAAATTATAAATTAATGTCTAGGTTCAAGAGGATACTTTATAAAACATAGAGAATATATATTAAAATCTTTCATTTCTTTTCTTTCAATTCTATTTTCCTAGAGGTAACAGTTTAGAATTTATTTTCCCAGATTTACTGCGTGGATTTACACATTAAATATATACACATAAGGATATATAGCTTTAAACAAACGTAAATGGAATCATTTTATGCACACATTTGCTTTTTCCACTTAATTTGCTTTAGAGGTAATTTCATATTAGTACATGTAGCTCTCCCTCAACTATAACAAAGAGTTGTATTGTATTCCATTTTATGATGAATTATTTTTTATTTAACCATTCCCCTATTGATGAACTTTAAGGCACTTTTCAGTTACACTATTGACAACCAACATTGTAGTGAATATCCTAGTGCCTAGAGCATACCACATTTGTGATTTTCCCTTAAAACTATATTTGATAATTAATTTACCTTAATTAAAGGCCTGAGAAGGTCTTCCAAAAAAGTAAGTAAGAGTTCAATTTCTGCCAATTATCGTTAGCTCACATATTTTGGGGGCACTTTGCAAATATTCTGGATATATGAGATATGCAGAGGTTTAAACCTCTATTTTAGAAACAGATTTAGAATAGAAATGATTCTATATATAGTAAAACATAGTATTGCCATTAATTCCCTTGCCTGATTATTTTCTATTATTATTCAATAATAAATTGATTATATTCTTAATAAAATGTTACAAAAGATTTTTCCTTAAATAATTAGAATGCATTTTAAGTGTCTTAACTTTAGTTATTCTTTAAAGACTGGCATTTAGGCATTCATGGCCAATAAGCATTATTTACTTCCATTCAATTAAAGTAAAACTGATTATGGAAAGTATTTAATAAAACTCCAAAATATTAATACCGAGCTCTCACTTACATGATAAGCACACACTGGGCAACACACTTGCCAAGTTCAAGTATGGATTTTTACTGAGCCGTATTTCTTTTGGTGGTTCTCCCAACAGTGAAGTCTGATTCTTAGAGGCAATCTATTTATCAAAAACAAAACAGTAGGTGTTTAATCAGAGCTAGGGGAAAATAAAAATGCAGAAAGAGTAGAGATTTATTTATTCTTCAATAAATCTAGTTTAGTGTAATAAAAATTTGTGGAACTTAATGTTTGAACATATGAAGTTATGGAATATTTCTGGATATTGATTAAAATGATCACATTCCACTTGCTATTACTTTTTCAATTAGTTTTTCTTTAAAGCTATTCCAGAACCATAGAACTTTAGAAATGAAAGAATTAAAGGCCTTCTTGTAAATCCTTCTCATTTGAACTAGGAGATAATTCAATTTCACAAGAAAAAATGAATCCCATATCTTATTTCCAGAAATACTGTTATCTACATTTTCTTATTAAGATTTTTACTTTATAGTATATGGCTATAGCCAAATGATAAAGGAAAGCTTACTTATCTCTGGTTCTAAAAATAATACCAAACAAAATAAATGGATTTAATAAAATCCAAATCCACAATTTACAAGATAACCCTAGAAATTCACATTTCTTGAAAATATATCAGTAAATTTTATATAACTAGGTGTAAGAGTTCTAGTATTTCTTTTACAGAAGAAAAGACTGATTCCTCAGATTTTTTTTTTTAAGATTTTATTTATTCATTTGAGACAGAGAGAGAGAGAGAGAGCATAAGCAGGGGGATAGGGGCAGAGGGAGAGGGAGAAGCAGACTCCCCGCTGAGGTGGGAGCCCGATGTGGGGTTCGATACCAGGACCCCAGGATCATGACCTGAGCCGAAGGCAGATGCTTAACCATCTGAGTCACCTAGGCGCCCCTCATTTCATTTTGTTCTGAGACAATTTTTTACTTTTTACTTTCTGTTGGTAAAAAATTTTTAAATAAGACAATTCAGATTACTATAATTAAAGCTAGGAGCTAAGTTTTCATTTCAAATTAATTTTTATTTTGTACCCTGAACAGAATGAAGGAAGTGTAATCTCAAGGGCTTATTTCTATATTTGAGAGCTACAACTCCTTTTATTTCTTCCTTATCTGGCCAATATTATTGTATTTGGATTGAGAAATCTGTCTTGTACATCTTCATAAGCCCCACAGAAGTCCAGATTTGCTTGTGATATGTATATAGATGTATTTATCTATTCAAATATGCTTACTCAACGTCTACCATGCTCCAGGCACTGTGGTAAGCATTGATAATATTAAAGTGAGTAAGACAGGAATACTACCATTAAGGAATTCACAGTCAAGTAGATATGATAGCTCAAAAGAAGTCTAAGATGGAACCGTAAGATTCTAGGTGGGAGCTAAAACCATTACATATTTGCCAAAGGAAAGTGTGTAGCATGAGGAAAGACAGTGCCTAGAGAGAATTCAGTGTGACCGAGTAAAGATAGCCAGCAAAGTACTCTCAGATTTTGTTTCTAAGGTACTTAGATTGCCAAGGTAATCAGATTCTATCCTATCAGGGGTTCTCAACTCTAGCTATGAAAGAGAATCACTTATAAAATTTTAAAAAATACAGTGTGCCCCCCCCCCCAAAAGCCCATGGCTTCACTGGGTATTTCAACAAAACATTTATTTTTATTTATTTTTATTTTTTAACTTAAAATCAATTAATTAACATATAATGTTTATTAGTTTCAGAGGTAGAGTTTAGTGATTCATCAGTTGCATATAACACCCACTGCTCATTCCATCAAGTGCCCTCCTTAATGCCCGTCACCCAGTTACCTCATCTCCCACCCACCTACCCTCCAGCAACACTCAGTTTGCTTCCTGGAGTTAAGAGTCTCTTATGGGTTCTCCCTCTCTGATTTTCTTATTTTATTTTTCCTTCCTTCTCCTATGTTCATCTGTTTTGTCTCTTAAATTTAACATATGAATGAAATCATATGATATTTATCTTTCTCTGACTTATTTCACTTAGCATAATACCCTCTAGTTCCATCCACCTCGTTGCAAATGGCAAGATTTCATTTTGATGGCTCAGTAATATTCCATTGTACGTATGTATGTATGTATGTGTAGACACACACACACCACCTCTTCTTTATCCATTCATCTGTTGATGGACATCTGGGCTCTTTCCAGAGTTTGGCTATTGTGGACATTGCTGCTATAAACATTGGGGTGCATGTGCCCCTTCGACTCACTATTCAACAAAACATTTAAAGAGGAATTAACTCCAATTCTTCTCAAACTCTTCCACAAAACTGATGGAGAATACTTCCAGCATTGTCCTAGTACCAAAGCCAGACAGACACCACAAAAAAGAAAGAGAACTATAGACTAATATCCCTTATAAATATTGGTGCCAAAACCACCAACAAAACACTAGCAAACCAAATTCAGTAGGTTATTAAAAGGATTATACGCCATAACCAACTGGGATTTATTCCTAGAATGCAAGGACGATTCAATATAAAAAAGTCACTCAACATAATACACTACATTAACAGAATGGAGGGAAAAAAAAACACATAATCACCTCGACTGATGCAGAAAAAGCATTTGACAAAATTCAACATGCTTTCGTGATTAAAATTGAACACACTTGGGGCACCTGGGTGGCTCGGTAGGTTAAGCATCTGCCTTCAGCTCAAGTCATGATCTCAGGGTCCTGGGATTGAGCCTTGCGTCTCTCCCTCTCCCTTTGCTGCTCCCCCTGCTTTTGCTCTCTTTCTCAAATAAATAAATAAAATCTTTAAAACAATAAAATTCAACACACTCAGCAAAGTTGGAATAAAAGGAAGCTACCTTAATATATCAGAAGTTATATATGAAAAGCGAACAACATACTCAATGGTGAAAGACTGAAATCTTTCCCTCTAACATCAAGAACAAGACAAAGCTGTCTGCTTTCACCACGTCTGTTCAACATAATATGGGAATTTTAGCTAGACCAATTAAGTAGGAAAAAGAAATAAAAGACATCAAAACCAGAGTGGAAGAAGTAAAGTGATTTCTGCTTTCGGATGCATGAAAACCCTAAATGTTACACATACACAGACACAAACTATTAGAATAAATGAATTCAGCAAAGTTGCAGGGTATAAAATCAACATACAGAAATCAGTTGCATTTCTACACACTAACAATGAACAATCCAAAAAGAAAATTAATAATTCCATTTACAACAGAATCAAAAAGAATACTTAAGAATTAACTGAACCACCCCCCCAAAAAAGGAATAACTGAGCCAAGGAAGAAAAATACTTACTTAAAACTACAAAACATGGCTGAAAGTGATATTTAAGCAGAAATCTCAATAAAGTGAGGGATTAAGCCATGAAAATATCCAAGACTGCACTGTCCAATATGATAGCTATTAGATACACATGACTACTGAGCATAAGAAATGTGGATAGTTTAAACTGAGATGTATGTGGAATGTAAAATATATACTAAATCTCAAATAGTACCAAAGAATGTAAAATATCTTAATAGCTCAGTACATATTACATTTTGAACTAGTATTCTGAATATACTGTATTAAGTATTAAAAATGTTAAAAACAGGGGCACCTGGGTGGCTCGGTTGAGTGTCCAACTCTTGGTTTCAGCTCAGGTCATGATCTTGGGGTCCTGGGATCAAGCCCTATGTGTGGTTCTGTACTCAGTGTGGAGTCTGCTTGAGATTCTCTCACTTTCCCTCTGCCCCTCCCCTTGCTCTCTCTCTCTCTCTCTAAAATAAAGAAATCTTAAAAAAAAATTTAAAAACATTGCTGGATAAAAAAAAAATTCCTGGATTAAAAGACATAAATAAAAACTTTGTCAAATAAATAAATAAAATCTTTAAAAAAACCTGTCAAATAAATAAATCTTTAAAAAAAAACCTCTCTGTCAAATAAATAAAATCTTTAAAAAAAAAAGACAAATAAAAGGAAAGGCATCCCATGTTCATGGATTAGAAGATGCATTGTTAAAAATGTCAGTATTAACCAGAGTGACCTACAGATTCAATATAGTCCCTATCAAAATTCCAACTTTTTTTTTTTGCAGAAAAAGAAAAACCCACCCTAAAATTCATATGGAATTTCAAGAAACCCCAAATAGTCAAAACAATGTTGAAAAAGGTGAAAAATAGGAACAAGAATGGAAGGCTCATACTCTGTGATTTCAAACTTTCTACAAAGCTACAGGAATCTAAAAAAAAGGGGGGGGGGAACAGTAATCTCAACAGTGTAGTATCGGCATAAAGACAGACATCCAGACAAATGGAATAGAATAGAAAACCCAGAAGTCAGTCCCTGCATATATGGCTAAATGATTTTTGTCAAGAGTGTCAAGATTATTCAATGGGGAAAGGACAGTCTTTTCAACAAAAGTGCTGGGAAATCTGGATATTGCATGGATATCTGGATATCTGTGAAAGGATAAAGTAGATTCTCACCTTACACCATATACAAAAATTAACTCAAAGATCAAAGACCTAAATGCAAGAGCTAAAATTATAAAACTCTTAAAGGCTTAGGTAGAATGCTTCATGATATTGAATTTGCCAATGGTTTTTTTGGGTCTGACAACAAAAGCAGAAGCAGAAAGTGAGAAAGAGAGAGAAAAAGAAAAAGAATAAATAGATCATATGTTGGGCCACAAAATAAGGCTGAACAAATTTAAGAATACTGAAATCATCAAGTATTGTTCTGACAACGGTATGAAACTAGAAATCAATAACTGGAGGGAAACTGGAGAATTCACAGATACACAAAATTAAACAACACTCTCCTGAACAACCAACAGGTCAAAGAAGAAATCAAAAGAGAAGTAAAAAAATATCTTGAGACCAATGAAAATGGAAATAGAGCATACCAAAACTTATGGAATACAGCAAAAGCAGTTCTAAGAGGGAAGTTTATAGCAATGCCTACAAGAAGAAAAAAGAAAGATTTCAAACAACCTAACATTACACATCAAGGAACTAGAAAAAGAAGAACAAACTAAGCCCACAATTAGCAGAAAGGAGAAAATAAAAAGGTTAGAACAGAAATAAAAGAGACTAGAAAGATCCGTGAAACTAAGTGTTGGGGTTTTGAAGAGATAAACAAATAGAGAAACCTTTAACTAGACTAACCAAGAGAAAAAGAGAGGACTCAAATAGTTACAAATGAAAGAGGAGATATTCAAACTGATACCACAGAAATATAAAGGTCGTAAGAGACTATTACCAAGAAATACATGCCGACAAACTGGATAACCCAGAAAAAAAATGGATAAATTCCTAGAAACTTACAACCTACCACGACCAAATCATAAAGAAATAGAAAATCTTATCAGACCAATAGTGAAATAAGAAGTAATCAAAAACCTCCCAACAATGAAAATATCAGGGCCAGATGGCTTCACTGGTGAATTCTACCAGACATTTAAAGAAAAATTAATGCCATTTCTTCTAAAACTCTTCTAAAAATTTGAAGAGGAAGGAACACTTCCTAATTTATTTAATGAGGTTAACCTCACCTTCAGACCAAAGCCAGACAAGGACACTACAAGAAAACAAAATTGCAGACCAATATCCCTGATGAACACAGATTGCAAAAATCCTCAAAATACTAGCAGTCCAAATTCAACAATACATTGAAAGACTGTATACCATGATCAAATGAGATAGCGCAGACATAAACACACACACATGTACTCAATGAATCTTTGACAAGGGAGTCAAGAATTCACAATGGGAGAGGACAGTTTCTCTAATAAGTGGTGTTGGGAAAATTGGATGTCTACACACTAAAGAATGAGATTGGACCAGGAACTTACCCCGTACATAAGAATTCACTCAAATTGGATTAAAGACTTAAAGATAAGACCTGAAGCCATAAAACTCCTAGAAGAAAATATCGGGAAAAATTTCCTTGACATTAGTCTTGGCAATGATTTTTTGGACAGGACACCAAAAGTATAGGCGACAACAGCAGAAGAAACAAGTGTGACTACATCAAACTAAAAAGCTTCTGTACAGCAAAGGAAACCATCAACACAATGAAAAGACAATCTACTGAACGGGAGAAAACTGATATAGCCATAATGGAAAACAGTATGGAAGTTCCTAAAACAATAAAAAATAGAACTACCATATGATTCAGTAATCCCATTTCTGGGTATATATTCACAGGAAATGAAATCACCGAGATAGAGTACTCCCATGTTCACTGCAGCATTATTCCCAACAGCCAGGATACGAAAACAACATCAGTGCTCTTTGATGGATGAATTCAGCCTTAAATAAGAAGGAAATCTTGCTATTTGTGATAACATGGGACGGACCTTGAGGGCATTATGCTAAGTGAAAAAAGTCAAATAGAGAAAAACAAACACCATATGATCTCACTTATATGTAGAATAAAAAAAAAAAGCTCACGGATACAGAAGAGAGATTGGTGGTTGTCAGAGGCAGTGTGGGCAAAACAGTCAGAAGGTACAAATTGCCAGTTATGAAATAAATAAATCATGGGGATGTAATGTACAGCATGGCAATGATTTTTAATAATACCATGCTTTATATTTGAAAGTTGCTAAGAGAGATCTTAAAAGTTCTCACAAGAAAAAAAATTATAACCATGTATGGTAATGGATGTTAACTAGACTTTTTGTGATGATCATTTTGTAATACATGCAAATGTCAAATTATGTTATATACCTCAAACTAATATAATGCTATATGTCAATTATACTTCATAAAAAAATTTTCTTTAAAATGCAGGTCTAAAAACCTAAAGCCAAGTTAAGCCAATTATGTTTAGCAGTCAAATATCTTGTTACATTCTTGGAAAACCTACTCTGAGATTACCTGGTTCAAACCCTGGCTATCAGAAGGAGGAATCACTTCTACAACAATCTGCACCCATGCTCACCTGGTGTCTGCTTAATTGTTTTCAGCTTTTTGTTTGTTTGAACGCTTCAACTGTTCTTTGTTATATTACGCCTAAATTTGCTTTATTGTATGTAATACTTATTGGACTAGGTCTGCCTACTGGTGAAACACAAAATACCATGTGACTAGTCTGAGACTATATCTTTTTAATGTATATCCAGCTGGTCCTCCCTTTCCGAGTTACATGTATCCATTTCCCTCAATTCTTTCCCCAGAACCTGTTTTCCAGGCCCTGGGTCACTTTGGCTGTTTTCTTCCTCATAGACTCTGCCCATTATGTGAATCACCTCAAATCAAGCTTTTCTGAAGATCTGGTGCTTTCTGTCCAAAAAGATACAACATATTCATATATGAGTTCTATTTGTTTAGTTTCCCTCAATAACCCAAGAAATTAATACTGCAGATAAATTTTTTAAATTTATTCTAGAAGAATTGCCTTAGCTTTCTCAATGAACAATTGCAGAGCATTCTTTCCATACCTGCTGCTGTGACTAGTTGATAATAAAACCTCCTCCAAATTCAATATTATTATTTTGACATTTGAAAATAGCCAACTAAATGAATTTTTTTTCCTCACATGCTGCTTATAGCCTGAGTTTTATACTACTTACAAACCAAAGGGTGTTTCAGGGTATGAATAAAAATTAAACTTACAAATGTCACTGGCCTAAGAACCAATAAAATAACTGGGTAAAAACTTCCAGAATTAAAACAGAGGTTAGATTCTTTTGAGCAGACCAGAGTTTAATAAATGACTTTGACATTTTTCAGATAAAATAAAATTGGTTTTGCCTTCAAATATTAATACCCTAATTAGCTATAGAGAATACATTTAAAGTAGAAAACATATTTTGAAAGCATTAACTTAGAAAGCCTCATAAATAATATGTAACTGGATAAGTATCAATGACACTCAAACTTTTCCAAACTCTAAAATTTTGAACTCAGTTTATATTTCATTTCTAAAATATCAAGCATTTTTGAGTATCTCAAACTTTTTAGAAAAGCAAATATCTATAATAAAGATTCCATACCTAAATTATTTTACAATAACAGACTTAAACTCATTTTACTCAGATTATTTTATTTACAGACAAACTGGTAAGTAATGAAGCACAGTCCCCAAACATTAGCTGACATCACTGACCAAAAGATGGATTTTTGTTTGCTTATAATAACAGGGTTTTTTTTTTTAAGAGTGCAATATTTTCTTCTGAGATGTAAATGCACACTATGAAAAAGTCATGTCATTGACATATCAATTATCTAGTTTGTAATCCATATTTACATACTTTAAGTCTATTAACTTTCTTTGAAATTTAAAAATGGTTAAGATGCTTTATACTTCCTAAATTATACTACCTGTAAAATAACCCCAATTTAGAATCTTCTAAAATTAGAATTTAAGATATAATTTTAAAAGAATATACATACATATATATATTCCTGCATAGTATCCACATACATGTAGTATACATGTGTACACGTGTGTCTATGTGTCTGTGCATGTATGAGTGTGAGCGTGTGTGTGTGTGTGCACAAACACAGTTTTCTTACCCCTGAACTTATCTCCGTGCCTCTTGGCTGACTTTGCTGTTGCTTGTGGTGTCCCGTCAGCAAGCCTCCAGCAGTACGGTTTGGGAAGCTCTGAAGACAGGCCTGTGACCCTGAGAAATTTCCTTCTGCCTTCCCCACCGAGGCTGGTTGTTTCTCCTGAGCATTCCCGTGCCCTGGCCCAGCCTGCCCAGCAATGTGCTGATTTGGAAAGAATGGTAATATGCCCATTCCAGCTGTTAGAGTTGTTTGAGTTGGAATCAGATTAGATGCTGTAGTGAACGACAAATGAACCACAAATGCAAAAAGCTTTTGGTTAGACAAGAATTATTCACAACAGTCCTTTGATTTTGTTAACTTACAGGGGAAATGTATCTATTAGAGAACAGTTACACTCAGAAGGTGAAGTTAGTGCTTGTAAAGTAGCAGGTTCCTATATGGAAAAACAAAAACCTCTAACAGTAATCATGCTTTTCTTATTTTCAACAATTTCCAGGATAATATCAAGGATATTTTTTTTAATTCCAAGTTTTAATTGTATATTTTAGAATTTGAGAGCAAAATGTATGTATTTTTTGGCACTTAAGTTATATCAGGTGCCTTCTTTTTTATGCTCGATCACTGTAATTTGCCGGCTTCCATATTGAAGGGAATAAAAAATTCTCTGACACTTAAAAATTAATAAAGTTAAATCCAATAATAAATTTGATCAGCTGAATTTCACCAGTTCATAAGAGCTGACTGTGCATATCTTTTCCCAGCTCCTGAATTCAATGTCTTCCCATAGGTAGTGGGCAACTGGCAATGAGTTGTAGAGTTTATATAGGAACTCCACAAATGCTACAAAAAATCAAGACTTTTTTTTTTAAGCCTAGAGAGCTGGTTTTGAAACATCAGCACACCACTGCTTTAAAAAAACATCAATATTTGTGAACAGATAGGCACCAAATATAACACAAAGTTTTACATTTTTATTTACAGGAAATAAGAAATTCTGTAAGAAATGAAAGTTTTAGTAGGAAAATTCTGAACCATTTAACTTTTTAAAAAATCTGTAGTTCAAAATCAAGAGAAAAGAGCTAATTTTGGTAACTAAGTCAAATTTATATTTTATAAATTCACTACACAAATATCTTTAATTATTTCTAGTACTAAATATTTAGAGGTGGATACTTAAGTTCTTTTGGCAATGTATTTATTTGGACACTGAATTTTCAATGTTCTTAAAGCAGTGCATGCTAAAGCAAATGGTCTTTAATTCAACACAAATAATAAACACTTGCATAAGCTTTTAGTGATAGAAAATTTAATTTTTAGAACAGGCCTCATCATACCATAAAATTTCTACACCTGTCTGTATCCTAGTTCAACTTTTGCCCAGTCAATTCCAACAGTCAGAACTGATTGACTCATTTAATCATTTGACTCATTGGTTTTATGTAGAGGCTAAATATGCTACCCAACTTTTTTTTTTTTTTTTTTTTACTGGTGGCCCCTCTCTTTTCCCAGCATAATCACTTCAAACAAATTTCAATTACACTTCAAACTGAAAGTGCCTTTCAAAATCGCATTCAAATAAGAAATCTTGGTATAATCTAACACACGCTCTTGTTTTACTAAAAAATAATAGTTTTGTTTAATTTGTCATCTTTTCAGAAGCCCAACGTACACATGTCGTTATTTTTCTTCTACTACTAGTTTGGAGATCACATTTTAAAAAATATTATAATCAAGTAAATCATCAAAGTTTACATCAGAATGCCACATATTTCCTTAAAAGCTAAGGGTTTCTTATTCAGGCAAAAATTAAATGGATACCTATGTAATATGTTGTCAGCCCAGCGGGCAGCATGTCAATCTCAAAGGGATCTATGTCTTTGCCTCAGGCTGCATGAACCTTCATCAAATATTAAAACATATCCAACAGGGAAAGTGTGATCTTGGCATGCCAGCAAGTCCATCAATAACTTATCAATAGTTCTCTAATATTAAAAATAGAAAAGCCAAGAGGGCTCTTAAAATTTTAAAGGACTGAATAAAACTCAACTTTGGCCTGTCTGTGAATAAAAGCAAGATATAGGTAAACCATCTTTAAATCTCTAATGTGACTGTTGATGGACTTCTCAGTAAATGCATATCATTTACTTTTGTGTGCTTCTCCATGATGACCCAGCTCTGTTTTCAAAGGAAGTGCTGACCCTATCCCTACTGCGGTTTGAAGTACCATGGCTGGGGGATCTCCAAGTAAGCCTGGTTTCTGCAAGAGAAGAAAAGAAAGTTAGACTTCTGCCCGTGGCAGCAGGGTATCATGTCATGAAAAGGCTACACATGGGAAAATTCATCAACAATCTGACCAGCAGATTGTAGACTCAGCAGATTTCTGAGTCTAGAAAGGGAATGAATTCAATTCAAAGGAAAAAATAATTCCATACTTACATTATTAGTATGAATATTCTCAAACTTCAGTAATTGTTGCTGTGCCAGTGGTACATGAGAAAGATTCTGAAGGAATAAATTGGAAGTATTACCCATAACTGTGCTCTGTGAAAACGATAAAGCATTCCGTTAGTTTAACTTTGGAAAGCTATTTGTCATAGAACCCAATTCATTTTAAAGGTCAATTCTCCAGATCTGAGCAAAAGCAACGGCTTCTTAATATGCCACTTTCCCACTTTAGGCAACGTAATTAATTCTTTTAATAACATACAAGATGTGACCACGTAGTCATGAAACTAACTCCACATCCTTTTCTTTTCTTTCATCCTTCTTCCTCCCCTCACCCCTTTTCGGCTTTCACGTCAGTGTCATTCAATCATTTATTTCTTCACTTAATCATCCAACAAATATTTATTGAGCAGTTTCTATGTGCCAGGCACTGTGTTACATAGAGAGAAATGCAAAATACGACCTGCCCTCACGGATCTTAGAGGCTCCTGGGGAAGGGAGACATTCATTAATTATAAAAACATTAAATTACAAATGGTGATGATCATATGAAGGAAACACACAGGAGCTATGAGAATAGCTGGGGATTTGATTTAGATTGGTAAATTCAAGGAAGGTTTCCCTGAGGAACTAACTCTTGTGCAGAGATCTGAAGGCTGTGGAGAAGTAACTAGGTGAAGTCTGGGGGACTTAGGTGCTGTTGGGGTGGGGAGCATTCCAGGCAGTAGGAACAGCAGGGGAGCAAAGACCTACGGAGAAGAGATCAAGGCCCTCTGAGGACCAAAAGCAGGCCACTGCTTCAGGGCTAGGAGAGGCCCGCTTGGACAGGCCTTCTGGGCAAAATTAAACGTTCTAGTCCTAATTCTAAAACAAAGAGAGTTTTGTCAATACTCTGAACTGCCCTCCCATGTCACTCTTCACACCTCATTGTAATTCACATTTGTTTTCTGTATTTGTTGAAATTCTCTAAGAACAAGGACTAGGAATATTTTTGTTCTCTGCTGTAGCTCAGTGACTGGCAGAGTGTCCAGTAGAGGTCAGATTCCCAATAAAATCTGTGGAGTAATTGAATGAATAAATACCCTGTAATGTACAAGGTCCTATGTTAGAGTCTAAGAATGAAAACTAAATAAGAGAGAAACCTTTCCCTTAAAAAGCTGCATTTAGGACTAGATGCTCAATCACTCAATCTGCCTCAATCATCACGTATGCATTAGGTTGGATTTGTAATTAGGCTCCTATTCAGATACAGCCTTCAGCAGTACCTGAAAGTAATGAGTACGACTCATCTCCAATATTTTGTTTATATATACAAACACATTTTAAAATACTAATCTGAAAAAGGTATGAAAAATATTTTTTATTCTAATAAGAATTATTTTTATATAGATTACATTTTAAGAATTAAGAGCTCATGTTCATTTATTTTTTTCTTTCTGTAAATACTTTAAGACCACCTAAGACTTGTTTTTAACCACTTATTTCTAGAAAAATATACCACAAAATACACCTCCTTCCCTTCTTAATGCCCTATAAGCAGGAATCAATAGATAGAACTATACTGCTTTGATCAGCTGAATTTGATCTCATGTACTCATTCTGTTTTCAGGTAGCTATAGTTATTACTAAGGATTTGTTTAAAAAACAAAATACTTGTTTAACTTCATGAGAATTTTAAACTTTAAGAACAAACAAATGAGTCACTCCAAGTTTTCATACTGCAGTACTCAATGCTATTTATATACCTGCTGTGCTTTATTCAAATGCAAAAACGCAGGGGAGATGGGTGGGTTCATCAGATGGGGCAAGCTGTGAGGTGTTCCGAGAACTGCTTTAAGAAAATAAAAGTAAAAATTAAACTTTATGATATGATAAAAACAAACTCCAGAAAGGGCAAATAAATATTTTTTTAACTTAAATTCATCCAAAGTTCAAGGATATACTGACCTTGTCATTGCACAAAAAGTGGCAAGCTCCCTTCCCTGTGATTCAAAACTAGAATTTTATTTAAAATTCCAACACCTGGGCACCTGGGTGGCTCAGATGGTTAAGCGTCTACCTTCGGCTCAGGTCATGATCCCAGGGCCCTGGGATCGAGTCCCGCATCAGGCTCCCTGCTCCTTGGGAGCCTGCTTCTCCCTCTGCCTCTCTCTCTCTCTGTCTCTCATGAATAAATAAATAAAATCTTAAAAAAAAAAAAAATTCCAACACCTTCTATCATAATAAAACACCAAACCTAGCCCTTCTTTTCTCGAGTGCTTAGAGCAACAAAACTAATTCCATCTTTTAGTGAGTATAATACTAACTGAACCCATGTTACTTGCTCAGTATTTTTCTTAGGTGTTTGGGGTATTTTGGCAGGGAATGGGGGGTGGAGGAGGGAAGGACAAGATACAGACTTTTCCTTTGAAAAGCCTACAATCCATTTAAGAAGATAATATATGTACAGAAAAATATTTACATAATAAAAACAAAAGAAACAGTACTGTGCATATTTGATAAAAAGAACAACAAATGGTAACCACACTTTTTATCAAGTTTGCCTGAGTACAAATACCAGAGTATGTATCAAAAGAGATGTTTTCAGAACAGGGGCGCCTGGGTGGCTCAGTCAGTTAAGTGTCTGACTGTTGGTTTCAGCTCAGTTTTGACTCCTGGATTCAGCTCAGGCTGTGATCTCAGGGTCCTGAGATCGAGCCGCATCCAGCTCTGCTCAGTGTGGAGTCTGCTTAGAGTTTCTTTCTCCCTCTGGCCTTCTCCACGTGTGCACACACTCTCTCTCTCAAATAAATAAATCAATCTTTTTAAAAAGGAGGGGGATGTTTTCAGAATAAATAGTATATAGACAAAAAGGACCATGAGATAGAAAATATATGAAGTCATTGCATCTAAATATTATAAAGCAACTGGAAATGGTCAGGAATAGAAAGCACTTCAAAAAGCATTTAATTTTGGGATGCCTGGCTGGCTCAGTCGGTAGAACATGTGACTCATACAGCAACTCTTGATCTCCCGGTTGTGAGTTCAAGCCCCACAGTGGGTATAGAGCTTACTTAAAAAAAAAAAAAAAAAAAAAAGAGTTGTGTTGTTTTATTTTAAGAAAAAAAGGGGGGGTAAAATATAAGTGTCTTTAAAAAAATCATTTAATCCAATGATCAAAAATATTTGGATATTGGGGCACCCGGGTGGCTCAGTCATTAAGCGTCTGCCTTTGGCTCAGGTCATGATCCCAGGGTCCTGGGATCGAGCCTCATATCGGACTCCCTGCTCGGTGGGAAGCCTGCTTCTCCCTCTTCCACTCCCCCTGCTTATATTCCCTCTCTCGCTGTCTCTCTCTCTGTCAAATAAATAAATAAAATCTTTAAAAAAAATTGGATATTATATATATATAATATATAACATCTCTACAAGTTTATCCCATGTTTTCAAAAGTACATTTCAAGTTTTATTACTTGCTAAATCAGTCCATTTCATCTTTGGAAAAATGCCCATTAGAAAGTGTTTTCTATAGAATGAGTCCATTTCACAATTGGTGGTAGGAAGATTAGGTCATTAGCCTGAGTTGTTTATAAAGACAGACTGTTTATTAGGAAAGAGGGATAAAGATGGGCATTTCCTAATGATAAAGGGGTCAATTCATCAAGAGGATACAACAATCTTAAATGTGCCTCAAATAACAAAGCTTCAAAATATATAAGGCAAAAATTTCTAGAACTGAAAAAGTATACAAATCCACAATTATGGTTAGACATTTCAACACCACCTCCTTTTTTCAGTTAGTCACTGTATTTTGTTACAAAACAATATTTTTTCCCCAGCTTTTAATGAACACTGTATTTCCCAGTTTAAAACAACAACCATTGGAATCAAAACACTCTGAAAATGTCTACAGTCTCACATCTAACTGCCCTTATTCTTAGCTCTTGGCTAGATCTCCTATTTGCCCCATCCTCCCCTCCTCAAGAATGCGTGAACAACACTATCAATCAACAATATATACAAAGGACTATAATATGTCATGACGAAATGAGGTTTATCCTAGTAATGAAAGGTTGGTTTAACACTGAAAAATCAATGTAATTCATCATGCTAGCAGACCAAACAAAAACAAAAAACACATATGATCATCTCAGTTAATGGAGAAAATCACTGGGTACATTCCAGCAATTATCATGACAAAATTTCTCTGCAATATAGAAGTAGAAGGCAAATTTCCCAGCCTGAAAAAGAAAATCTGTGAAAAAGCTATAGCTGACATAATAAAAGAATGAATGCTCTCTCCTTAAGGTCAGAAACAAAGCAAAGATGTCCACTCTCACAAATTATGCTGGAATTTCTGTCTATTGCAGTAAGGCAAGAAAAAGAGGTAAAAGGCATACATATTGGAAAGGAAGAAATAAAATTGTGTTTATTTGTGGATTATATGACTGTCTATATAGAAAATCCTAAGAACAAAAACCTACAAGAAATAAGCTAGGTTTGCAAGATACAATATATACAAAATCAATTGTACTTGTATATGCTAGCAATATGAAATTCAATATTGAAATTTAAAAAGCAAAATTACTTAAAATCCTGGGCGCCTGGGTGGCTCAGATGGTTAAGTGTCTGCCTTCGGCTTAGGTCATGATCCCAGGGTCCTGGGATCGAGTCCCGCATCGGGCTCCCTGCTCCTTGGGAGCCTGCTTCTCCCTCTGCCTCTCTCTCTCTCTCTGTCTCTCATGAATAAATAAATAAAAATCTTTAAAAAAATTATTTAAAATCCTATCAAGAAATGTAGAATACTATGGATAAATCTGACAAAATGTGTGTAAGATTTATACCCTGAAAACTAAAAACTGCTGCAACAAATTAAACAAGACCTAAATAGAGAAGTATTCCATATATATGCCTCAACCTCAAAACTGTCAATTCTGCTCAAATTAGTATATAGATTCAACACAATCCCAGCCAAATTATTGACATTTTTCATAGAAATTGACAGGCTAGTTCTAAAATTTCTACACAAATACAAAGGACATAGAATAGGCAAAACAAATTGAAAAAAGAAGAATAAAGTTGGAGGGCTTACACTAATTGACTTTAGGGCTTATTATAAAGCTACATTTATCAAAACAATGTCGTACTGGGATAAAGACAGACATTTAGATCAATGGAATAGAATAGAGAGTCCATAGATAGAGCCATGCATACACAGTGAACTTTAATGGAAGTTCAGTGGAAAAAGGGTAATCTTTTTTAACAAATGATGCTGGAACATCCGTAAAAAAAATTAACCTAGAACTTTACTTCACATCATAAATAAAAATTAACTTAAAAAGAACCATAGATTTAAATATAAAAGGTCAAATTATAAAACTTCTCAAATATGAGAGAACATCTTAATGACCTTAAATTTGGCAAAGATTTCTTAAATCTGACAAAAGATGTACAAATTATAACAGACAAATAATAAATTGGACTTCACCAAAATAATAAGTTTTATTCTTCAAAAGACATTGTTAATAAATGACATCTTACGGAGTGAAAAAATATTTGCAAACCCATATATACAAGAGCAGACTTGCATCTAGAATAAAGAACACTTATAACCTAATAAGAAAAAGATAACTCAATTTTAAAATGTGCAAAATATTTAAAAAGATATAACAAAAAGATATAAAGATGGCTAATTAGCATATTAAGAGATGTTCAAAATCATCGGTCAAAAGGAATACTCAAAATCACAGTGAGATAGCACTACATACCCAACAGAAAGGCTAAAATTAAAGCACTAACAGGTCAAGTGTTGGTGAGAAGACTGAGCACGCTGGTGTCCTAGACAGTGATGGGTGAGAATGCAAAGTGGTTTAACCACCCTGGAAAACAGTTGGCAGAATTTCCTATAACTTAAACATACATCTACAATATGCCCCAGCCATTCCATGACTAATTTACTGGCGAGAAATTAAAGCATAAGCCTACATAAACACTAGTACAGAAATGTTCACAGAAATTTTATTTGTAATAGTCCCAAACTAGAAATAACCTAAATGTTCATCAGCAAGTCAATGAATATGCAAATTATGGAATGGAATACTACTCCTCATTAAAAAGAAAAAAAATTATTGATACATGCAGCAACATAAATGAATCTCAGGAAGCTGAGTGAAAGGAAGCCAAACAGTACATACTGTGTGATTCCATTTATAGAAATTTCTAGAAAATACAAGCTAGAGTGACAGAAATCAAATCAGTAGTTTCCTGGGGATGGAGGAGAGGGAGATTACAAAAGGCCAGAGGAAACTTTTGAGAGTAATAAATATGTTCATTATTTTGATTATGGCGATATACATATGTCAAAATTTATCTACACTTATAATTTTATACATGTCAAAATATCATTTTTTACACTCTATGTGCCAATTAATATGCAATTATGCCTCAATAAAGCTGTTAAAAATATAATTTATAAGACTACAACAAATTGCACACTATGTAAAATTTAAAATGGACACACACACAAAGAAAGAAATCTAGAATATTTACACTGTATTGTATTTTTGAAGGTGGTTAAAAGGTCTGGATTGAAGAGAAAAGACTGGTATGGTCAGAGTAACATAACCAAATTGGGCCTGGGAGGAAAGTCAGTCTGACAGAAGCGTACAGATTAGACAGAACAGACAGACAAGAGTAGTCAGGAACTTACAGACCAGACCACATGTGAGTAACCAGGTATGTGTGAGTTGTGGAACAGAGATGTAGAGGAAGGGGATTCATCTGTAAATAAATAATTAAGTCCCTTTCATTATAAAAAACAGTGCTGTTTTAGGTGCATGAGATGAACAAGACATAAATCTTTGCAATTATGGAACTTACATTCTAGTGGGAGAGCAAACTATAAACAAGTAAATATGTGTGAGTTATGTGAAAAATAAAACAAGGGTATAAATATAAGCATATTATATATACTACATTTAATATAAACATAAGGAATTATAATTCTTAGCTTGCTCAGAGCCCTCTGTGAGTAGCTCAAAGTATAGTAAGGGATAGAGTTAAGACAGAAAGGACATAGTGTTCGGGCGCTGGGTTGGCTCAGTTGTTAAGCGTCTGCCTTTGGCTCAGGTCATGGGATCGAGCCCTGCATCGGGCTCCCTGCTCAGCGGGAAGCCTGCTTCTCCCTCTCCCACTCCCCCTGCTTGTGTTCCCTCTCTCGCTATGTCTCTCTCTGGCAAATAAATAAAATCTTAAAAAAAAAAAAAGACACAGTGAAAGAAATACAGATGGAACTTATTGACTAACAAGACACTTTGTCTTTCCTGAACACCAAGAAACTTTCCATATATCCTCCAGAAGCTTTGCGTGTGTTCCAGTGAGGTAGATTTCATCCTCCTCCCTTGCCACACCACACGAACAAAAAGCCATACTTGGTGAAATAATGTCTCCATCAGTGTAAGAGTAGAATATCTTATTTAAAATTGTGAAACTAGGGGTGCCTTGGTGGCTCAGTTGGTTAAGTGTCTGCCTTCGGCTCAGGTCATGATCCCAAAATCCCGGGATCCAGCTGCACACTGCACATCTGGCTCCCTGCTCAGCGGGAAGTCTGCCTCTCCCTCTGCCCTTCACCCCACTCATGCTCTCTCTCTCCCCTGCCTCAAATAACAAAATCTTTTTTAAAAATTGTGAAACTTGCACTAAAATAAGCATATCATCTAATGCCATACATCAATCTGAGTAGAAAGGCAATCTAGAGAATATATATTCTCTACTATATGAAAAGAAAAAAACAAAACAAAACAAAACAAAAAAAACAATACTGGAGAGGAGTTAAGAGAGCCTAGAGTCCAAAGGTGTGGCCAATACTTTCTAAAAGACCCAAGAGCATGATATACTGCCTGTAAACTCTAACACAATCTTGGACTGTATTAACAGAAATATAATGATCATAGGAAAGAAATCTCACCACATTCTGTGATCAAAACCCATTCACAGCATATGTTCATGTCTGTGTTCACCATATTTCTGGACAGCCCAGAGAACCTAGGCTAATATCTACAAGAGGACAGTTAGTTGGGGAAACTAGAGAGATTTTCTTAGGACATGTTATAGAAAGTCAAATATAGACCTGTAATCTACAAAGAAATTTATGAGGTGTAGAAAAAATTACTAGAACTCTTGTTCATATTTACTTTCATCTTTAAATAAAAATATTAAGCCTTATCATTTCTTAATATATGGGTTAACAAGGGTACATTTATATAACTGACATATAATTGATACATACAGTATATATATTGGAGCTCTGCTCAAAATTCACTGATAGCACTGCATAGTCAAAAAGAAATTTTTTTTTAAAGATTTTGTTTATTTATTTGACAGAGAGAGACACAGCGAGAGAGGGAACACAAGCAGGGGAAGTGGGAAAGGGAGAAGCAGGCTTCCCGCCGAGCAGGGAGCCCGATGCGGGGCTCGATCCCAGGACCCTGGGACCATGACCTGAGCTGAAGGCAGACGCTTAACAACTGAGCCACCCAGGCACCACGAAAAAATAAATAAATTTCAAAAAGACCATTGACCTGGAGAATAAAAGACAGGGAAAACAAGAAAATGACCAAGGTTTCATGATAGTGGTCTTCAAATATTATTAGAAGTCCTTTCTTAGGGAAGAAGCAATAGACTTATTCTGTGTTTCTTCAGAGGAAGAACTAGAATAAATCACTAAAATTATAGGGTTTACCATTTAATATAAAAAAAACCAAACCTCATTATTAACTTTGTCCAACTAGGGAATGGGTTGCCTTGGGAAATAATGAGCCTCTTATGCTTTGAGTGGTCAAGACATAAACACATATCTCTATACCATTAAAACTGTAGAAAAGATATCTGATTATGTAACAGCTGAGCCAGAAAACCTTTAACCGCTGCTTCTTACATACAAATAATTGATGATTATAGGATATACTTACTACAAATATTGTTGTATAATAAAAAATTTAACTGGACTTTGTCTCTGGTTCCTGGAAGGAAAACTCTAAATACTTAGAAGTTTCTGAGTGATAGGAGTGTCTTTGTTAGGCTAATGAGGTGACTCAAGGTGGACCCTGCCATGGGGCTGGTCAATGCCAGAAACACCAACCATGTGATTAGAGGGCTGGAGCGTTGGGTTCCGTGGTGTCAGCCTGACCTCCTGACCTCCAGAGGGTGAGGGAAACTGGAGGTTCAGTTCACTAACACCCGATCAGGTCTACATAGTGAAACTCCAGTAAAACTCTGGACGCCAAATTTAATTCAGTGGAGATCCCTGGTTGATGAATACACAGATGTGCTGGGAGGGTAGTATGCCCTGATTCCAGGGGAAAAGAGCATAAAAGCTCTGCATTTGGGGCCCTCCTAGACCTAGCTGTAAGAGTATCTTCACTTGGCCATTTCTGAGTTCTGTCCTTTATAATACAACTATAATCACAAGTACAGTGCTTTCCTTAGTTCTATGAGTTGTTCTACCAAATCATCAAACCTGAACCCCCCAAAATCTGTGGCCAGTTGGTCAGAAACACAGGTGGTTTGGGGGACCCCCTGAGCTTGCAGCTGGTGCGTGAAGTAGGAGCAGACCTGTGGATGACTAAGCCCTTAACTTGTGGGGTCTGTGCTAACCCTGGGTAGTTAGCGCTAGAACCGAATTGCAGTCCAGTAGTTGGTGTTAGACCAGTTGGGGTTGAAACAATAAGTATATTTAAACATTTTTTATGCTAAACTTTAGTGTTGAATATAAAAATTCACTTCTTCATAAGGCTAAAATATACATTTTATGTATATATAGTTGTGCATTTCAAGAGGTGGGCTCTTACCAGAGGAAGAATACTAAATAGGTAGATATTTAGTATATACCAATATTATAAAGATTTCCATAATATTTTTGTCATTTTCTACAGAGTGAAACATCTTTTCGACAGAAAAGAGGAAAGAGGAAACATACCTTTAACACGTTTGAACAAAGTAATTCTGCTAAAAATATTACATGGAAAAGTAGCATATCCTTTGTTGATACAATCCATAACAACACAATGTGTTAATTATCTGGTCTCTAAATTCCTGTCAACAAAGAGCTAAGCTGGTTTTAATATTTAACATTTACTAAAAAGAAATTAGGAAACACATAAGCAGACTATATCTACCAAAAATAGTGAAAACATATTATCAGCTCAGATCATTAATTAAAATTTACTGACAAATCCTAGAAAAATATTTTTGGACTAATTTAATGTGTTTTTCATGCAAAACGGCACAAACTGGCTTCATGCCAACATTCTATGTTTAATCTGTATCCATGTGCTTACCTGGTTTAACAGCTCGCCCGCAGAGCTGGGGTTGTAGAAGAACTTGTAACATGGCGGGATTGTTTAAACTTTTCATAATTTGTACAGGATTTGGCTCTGGAAGTAAGCCTTTTTGATTACTGTGCATCTTCAATAAATATAGAAACAGGAAACATTAGAACAAGGATAAGTACGCAAGATGAAGTTTTAAAGGCTTTCTTCCAGAAATTCTCACTCCCCTGATCTTTATGATAAATGCACATTGCTTTACATGATACATTCTTGTATATATTCTATCACAATTCTTAATTATAATGCTAAGATATTCTACTGTACATCATATATTGAAATCCTCATAAAATGTCTCCATGAAATACAAATTGGCTTTAAGAGGACTAACAATTTAGTAAGATAAATCTCTTCATACAAGTAGAAAAATTTCAAGGGAATCTGAATTTATTAATGGGGAGATAATTTGTTGACACAGTATGAATACCTCATACTACAGAAGAGCCGTACTATAATGTTTATCTAAAGCATAATAATGTGGGTTGCCTTACAAACAAAATTTTTCTTTTCTTTTCTTTTTTTTAAAGATTTTATTTATTTATTTGACAGAGAGAGACACAGTGAGAGAGGGAACACAAGCAGGGGGAGTGGGAGAGGGAGAAGCAGGCTTCCCGCCGAGCAGGGAGCCGATGCGGGGCTTGATCCCAGGACCCTGGGATCATGACCTGAGCCGAAGGCAGACGCCTAATGGCTGAGCCACCCAGGCCTCCCCCAAATTTTTCTTATAATAAAAGTCTTCATTAACTTCATCCTCTGAGACAAAGCTGAACTGGACTCACATACATGTGATTAGGTAGCTTCCTAAAAATATGAAATTGTTTTCAGTTTCAAAAACCAACTTGATAGATGAGAATATTAATATATGGTTATAAAATACTATAAACTTCTAGTCATAACAAAATGGAGAACTAATAATACGAGTGGAATCCCTCTCTAAACCCAGATACTGTGAACATGAGAGGGAAAGGGTGACAGATCTGAGAACCACACACAAAATCTGTGAGAACTCCCTTGGAGCGATAGAAGGTGGTGGGTCTCAATGTGGAGGGAGAGACTTCCGCAGGGAGCATGAGAGAGCCTGGGTCTACAGCCAGTCTGGAATGGGCTTTTGACTGTGCGACTGTAATGAGGGCTTTCCTGGCCAGCACACGGAGGGAAACCAGCAGCATTAACCTCGTGACAGTCACAGGACCACTGAATTAAGAGTTTCTCCAAGGTGCAGGGTTGTCTGGTTGGGGTGGGAAAAGGGCTGTGGTCAAGGACAGACAGTAAAGGAGAGGTTCTCAGCCCTAGCTCCTCATCTGCATTTGCTAAACCCTAGCTAAAATGAACAGGCTTTCGCTCTCACCTGTCCATCCTCCACTCCCTCGACCTCTAAACACTCACATACAAGGAAACTGAAACCCCCCCAGGGAAATATGTATTCATAGAACACAGCTAGACATCTGGAGAATGTAGCCATTAAAAATTATAAGTAACAAACTGAACCACCTGTAATAGACAAACCAGAATTAATGGATACGAAATGATAAGAACACTACATAGTAATAGAGATAATCGATACACTTAAAAATTTTTCATTAGTAACGTGAATCAAGGACAAGCAGTTACAAAGAATAACTAATTAGAAATACTGGGTATGAAAAACATAAATGTTAAAAAAAGAAAAAAAGCAGCCCTCACTGCATACTTGACATCGTTCTATGCACTTTACATGGATTATATCATGTAGTCCTCCTAAACAACTCTACAGCATGGTACTATTATCACTATTCTATAGACAAGGAAACCGAAGAAACTCATACAGAGCATTATTCTTAACCTCTATCCTGTGCTTGAACAGATAAATATAATACGTGTGGTTGAAAAACAAAAGAGTGCCTTGAAAGATCAGTTCAAAAGAAAGCTCTAAGAAGACACAGGCAAAGGATAAAGAAGCGGAAAATGCAAATAAACAAAACAAAACATGGAAATAAGAAACACAAGCAAAAGAGAAAAAGGAAGGCAATAAAGAGGCTGGAAATGTCAACCTGTATAAAATAGGAGTCCCTGAAGGAGAAGAAAGAAGAAGGGGATCTTTGAAGAAATAATGGCTGAGAATTTCTTGTTATTAAAGAAAAATTAAAGAACATGGAATGAAAGGAGTTACGGCATTCCAAAGATGATGTATAAGGAAAAAACACACCTAGTCACATTTTTGGGTTTGAAACTTAAGAATATCAAAGCTAAAGAAAAAATGCTAGAAGCTTCTACCGAGAAAGAACGTATTTCCAAAGGAACAAGAAATGAATTAATACCATCTCCTTCCTCAAAGCATCAACAGTGGATTTAAGAAGACAACAAATTAGTATTTCCAAAGTGCCAAAGGAAGAACTTTGAATCTACATTTTTAATATTTTTATATTCAGCTATTATTTAAATATGTGAAAGAAATAAAAATATTCCCAACTACGCAAATTCTCAAAAGTTTTTACATTAATACCTTCTCCAAAAATGAGACATGAGATGCAGTACATGCAAGACCATATTACATGATATGTGCAAACGAAGGTATGTAATAGCATAGTTGATTTCACTCTTGCATATAAAACCCAGTACCATGGGAAAAAAATACTTTAGGCAATCCTAAAATTAAAATGTAGACACCAATATGGTGGTAGGTGGGATAAGGAAAGGAAGGAGGAAGTAAGATGGAGGTAAGATTAACTTAAGTGGGAAGAAAGGGATACTGATAAATCTAGGGGGGTAAATAAGTTAGGGGCAATCACCAATAGGATAAAGACAGAACACATTATTCTCAGATGTGAAGAGGAAAATTTTTTTTCCTTTTTTTTTAGTAGTTATTTTCTATGGCTTTTTTTTTTTTTTTCTCATCTACAAAACCTTAGCCCTCCAACTGCTTCTTGATCTTAGGGGCCTCAGATAATCTAAAAAGCTCATTTAACAAACATTTGGTGTCTAGTGTAAAAGAGTATGATTGATGCCAAGGAGGAATACCAAGATACAGGACACAGGTCCCTGCCTTTCTAGAGAAGAATTTGTATGAAATGGACCAGCCGAGAATCCAACTGTCAGTCGATACAACCTCTCCTTTGTTGACCACTGCTCCAACAGAGGTATGCAGTCAACCAATTTAATTCTCAAACTGCCATCCTCAGGTGGAAAATGCAGAATTCCATTTAATTTTCATTTTTAAAGGGGTGACATTAAGGAAGGCACATTCGGGTTTGCTGTCTGGGGGGTTTCCTTTTTCCTGTCTCAGAGATGCTTATCTATGCCCACCTGCTCCCCAGGACAACCCACACTCAAAGAAAATTCTTATTTATCCAATAGTAGATGGAAAATGAAAATGGAAGAACAAAGTATAGTTAAAAGAAAACATGATTTAAGAGAATAATCATCACTACATATTTAAGTAGTCTAAATGTACCAATTAAAGACAGATTTTTTTAATTTGATTTTTTAAAACATGTTTTTAGAGCAACATGTTAGCTATAAGACACATACCTAAAATAAAATATACAGAAAGCTTGGTAATAAAGGGATGGCAAATATAAACCAAAAGAAAGTTGAAGTAGCAACTAACTCTAACATCAGAAAAACACACAGAGGAGTAAAATAATCAATATGACCACAAACAAATGTGTACCTAATAATTAATAATACCTATACCTATCTATCTACGGAGAAAGAACTAATAGAATAAGGAGAAAAAGAAAACTCAACAATTATACATGGTAATTTCTAATACATTCCTCTCAGACACTGACAGATCAAACAGAAAAAAATAAGCAAAGATATAGAAGACTTGAGTCACAATTAATAAGCTCAAACTATTATTTATACACACACATATATACACATATAACTTTGTAACCCACATAGATTGGATTGTTTTTGAGCATACAGGACAAATTCACAGAAAGTAACCACGCACCAAAACAAAATGCAGCCACAATATCCCCTCCCCCCAAATCAATGTGAGAGACTAGATTCTCTGACCACAATGCAATAAATTACAAATCTATGTCAGAAGAATAGTTTTTTAAAATTCCTAAGTGGATATAAACTGAAAAACAAAAGTAATTAAGCTTTACATTGAAAAGGAAATCATAGAACAATTTGAAACACTTATAATCTAAAATTTATGACACATTGTATAGAGTTGTGGAATCACTATATTGTACACCTGAAATCAATATAACACTGTATGTTAACTAGAAATGAAAGAAAAACTTAAAAAGCCAAAATAAAATAAAGTTTAGGATACATAAGTATAGCATTAAAAAGAAACTTGATTTAAATACATTAATCAGAAAACAATACAGACAATACAGATTGAAAACAAAGGTGCTAAGTGTTAATATCAATAAAGACAGAGGAGAAAGAGTAAACCCAAAGAAGAAGAAAAAAAAAAAAAAACAAGGATATTATAAAGATAAGGGCACTGTGGAAAACAGTATGGAGGTTACTCAAGAAATTAAAAATAGTATTACTGTATGATCCAGTAATTCCTCTACTGGGTATTTACTCAAAGAATACAAAAATACTAATTTGAAAAAATACACACACCCCTATGTTTACTGAAGTATTATTTATAATAGCCAGGATATGGATGCAGCCCAAGTGTCCACTGATAGATGAATGGATAAAGAAAAGGTGAGATACACACACACACAGAGGAATATTACTCAGCCAAAAAAAGATTGAACTCTTGCCATTTGCAACAATGTGAATGGATCTGAAAAGTATAATGCTAAGTGAAATAGATCAGAGAAAGACAAATAACCCATGACTTCATTCTTTTTTTTTTTTTTAAAGATTTTATTTACCTATTCATGAGAGACAGAGGGAGAGAGACAGAGAGAGAGAAGCAGGCTCCCAAGGAGCAGGGAGCCCGATGTGGGACTCGATCCCAGGACCCTGGGATCATGACCTGAGCCGAAGGCAGACGCTTAACCATCTGAGCCACCCAGGCGCCCCCATGACTTCATTCTTATGTGCAATTTATGAAACTAACAAAGAAAACAAAGAGACAAACTAAGAAACAGACTCTTCACTATAGCGAACAAACAGATGATTTCCAGGGGGGGAGGTAGGTGGGGGTGGGTGAAAGAGGTGATGGGGATTAAGAGTACACTTATCATGAGGAGCAGTGAGTAATGTATAGAATTGTTGAATCAATATATTGTACACCTGAAACTAATAAAACACTGTATGTTATCTATGCTGGAATTAAAATTAAAAAAGGGCAGAAATAAGCAAAAGAAATAACAGAACAAAAGCTGTTTCTTTGAAAAGACAAAACAGGGAAATATTTTTTAAGACTGATCAAAGAAGGGGTGTCTGGGTGGCTCAGTCGGTTAAGTGTCAACTCTTGATTTCGGCTCAGGTCATGATCTTAGGGTCATGGGATCGATTGAGCCCTGCTTCAGGCTCTGTGCTCAGTGTGGAGTCTGCTTGGGATTCTCTCTCTCACTCTTTCTGCCCCCGGCCCAACTCGTCTCTCAAAAAAAAAAGCAAATAAAATACACAACAAAAATTAGAACAGAACAATTTTATTTTTTTAAAGGTTTTATTTATTTGAGAGAGTGAGTGAGAGAGAGAACAGAAGTGGGGTGAGGGGCAGAGGGAGAGGAAGAGGTAGGCTCCCAGCCAAGCAGGGAGCCTGATGTGGGGTTTGATCCCAGGACTTCAGGAGCATGAAGACAGAACAAATCTTAAAAATAATATTATAAATGAGTATGTGCCAATAAATTTGAAAACATAGACAACATGGATGAATCTATAGAATATAATCAAAAGCCAATAAGTCATAGAGAGAAAAATAAAACTAAAATTTCTAAATATCTGTAGAAGAAACTTAAGTGGTAACCAATGGTTTCTCTCTGTATGAGGCTCCAGGACTAGGTCTACATGATTTCATAGATGAGACTTCACAAACTTTCAAAGAACAGGTAAGCCCTATTTTACATGAGTTGATCCATGAAATAGAAAAGGGGGAGAAGGAGAAAAAAATAGTTTAGTCATTTAATGAGGTCAGTATTCCCTTGATTGCAAAATAAATGATGGTACACAAGATTTTAAGCATTTTTCACTTATGAGCACACGTGCACATAATATTAACCAATCAAATCAAACAATGCACTGGAAAAAATGTTATCAATTAGAATTTATAATGGAAGGATGGTTTAACATTAGGAAATCTATCAGTGTGATTCAGCACATGAAATCACATGATTGTCTGAATAGTTATAGAAATACTTGGATAAATTTCAGTACCTATTTATGATTTTTTTTAATCTCAGAAAACCAAGAATCTGTCGAAAGCATCAGTGCAAAGGCATTACTTCTAAGATTGAGAAACATTTAAGATTTCTCATCATCACTGATAATCATGAAGGGCCCTGCAGGCCATGCAAAGGAACCTGAACTTATGCAGGCATTAAAGAATATTAAGCAAGCAAATGACACAATCTGATTTGAGGATGGAAAAGATCAGTCTTGAGGGCGCTGTGGAAGACGAATGAGAGTGGTGACTACACAGGTGATTATTTTCATCGTCTAGGTGAGAAAAGAGGAGATCCTGAGTAAAGTAATGAAGATGCTGACAAGCCTCAAGGACTGAAGAGATGTTAGGATGTGCAACTGAAAGGATTTGCTAATATTTTCAACATCTAGATTTGGGGAGCAGGTGAAAGAGACCCATCATGATTAACTGAGTTGCTGATTCAGATAATTTTAGTTTGGGGGAATGGGTGCCATACACAGAACACAGAATTGTACATGTATGTCACACACATGTAGTGGCATCAAGCCATGTAGGTGTTTGTTCTTCTCCAGGGGAGCACAGTGCCCTGGTGCAGAGGTAGGCAACTGGATGGATTCAGAATTGTAAACTCAGCAAGTCCAGCCCAACATCACAGAACACAGACAAGCAAGTTCCAGAGAAAAGACAGTTTTCTTTTGGGAATGTTGAAATTGAACTACTTATAGAACATGAAGGTGGGATGCTTAATAATTATTTGGAAATACAGATTTTGTGCTGAGGGCAAATGGGTCCAAAAATAGGCGCTTGCAAGTCATTGCTGATAGGCAATAACTGGGGCTGTTGGAGTACACAAGAAGAAGAAAGTGAGAAAGCCAAATACACACGTCTACTCATACCAGCCCTTAGGGAAAAAGAAGGGGAAGGAACAGTTAGGGAGAAGAATGGTGGGGTAGAATTCTAGAGCGGAGACTTTTAAAGAGACCAAGCAATAAAAGACTAAATAGCACCTATTCAACCTGAATATGGAGAAATCTCTATTAATCTTAATGAGAACAGGTTCATGTGAAGAGCAGAGGCAGAAGCCACAGTGCATCAGGCTGAGAGGGAAATGAAGAAATGATGAGAGGAAGTGGGGCCTAATTGTTCAAGAAGCTCCAGGGGTGAAGGAAGAGTAATATAAAGGCCAGTATGTAGAGAGCATTTTTTAAAGGAAAGGATCTGAACATGTTTATAAGCAGATGGGATGCAGCTAGGGGAGCGAGCAAGGAATGATAATAAGTAGAAAGGTAAGGATCAAGATCCTTGGAGATGGCGGACATGGTCATGAGCCCCAGCACCGCAAGGATGAGGCACGGCTCTTCCTCCAAGGAGGGGATCTTTGTCCATTTTGTTCACTGATGAATCATAAACATCTCTAACAGTGCCTACCGTGTAATGGGTGCCCAGTACGTATCTGTGGAATGAATGCTACTGAAGAGAAAAGGAAGTAAAAATGGGGACACAGGAGCACCTGGGTGACACAGTAGATTAAGGGTTCGACTCTTGGTTTCGGCTCAGGTCGTGATCTCAGGGTCATGAGATGGAGCCCCACATTGGGCTCCGTGCTCAGCTGAGTCTGCTTGAGTTTCTCCCTCTCCCTCCCCCTCTGCTCCTCCCCACCCATCCCCGCCATGCACACTCACACTCTCTCCCTCTTAAATAAATAAATAAATAAATAAATAAATAAATAAATAAATAGATCTTTTTTAAAATATGGGGACACATTTGCTGAGGCAGTATGAGAAGAGTTGAATGAATGATCCAGCACATGACTTTTGTATTCCTAAACAGTAGGAGCCATGATCAGCTGATTGATAGAAAGGAAAAAGGCAGAAACAGAGTGAAGGTTCAAGATAGTTGCTGTAGAAAATGGAAGAGCAGCTGATGAGAGATGATAAGCTAAAGTTTTGCTGGGACCAGCCATTAACGTATATTACAGATATGTAGTAGCACCAGGCCACGTAGGTATTTGTTTCTCTTCGAGAGGACACAGTGCCCTGGTGCAGAAGTGGGTGACTGCATGGATTCAGAATTCTAAACTCAGTGACTCTGGTCCAGAAGAGGCAATTTAACCAGAGGCACGATGTTGTCAGTCGAAGAAGAGCTGAAGTTGTGACTTACGCAAGCAAGGGCAGGAGAATGACAGAACTGAAGAGAGGAAGGACAAACTACAAAAGAAGGGAGGAGGGATCCAGGGCCAGATGTAAGGTTAAAGAACAGGAAGAGAAGGGCAAGAGATATGAGACCAAGAGCAATCTCCTCTCTTTTCCTCCCTCCTCAGTTCATCTATGAACCACTTTCAGACCAATGTCTTGATGGCTTAACTCTGATCCCATCACTACCTTGTTTATATACCTCAAAAGCTCCCCGCTGCTTACCAAATTCAATCTCCATTCCCCCAGTGCTCAATGGTCCTCTCGGATTGGCATCAACCTACCATTTCACCATGCACCCCTTCCTACACTCCTCCACCTGCACCACTCACCCCCCTTGAAGCATGCGAATTTGCCTCATTCTACTGCTTGAAAGCCTTTGTTCAACTCACTCTACAGTTGTCAGATTTAGCAAGTAAAAATACAGGCTGCCCAGTTAAACTTGGGTTTCAGATAAAGAATAATTTTTTCAATATACTGTCTCATGCAAAATTTGTGTTTAACTAGCAATCCTATCCTCTACTCCCAATACATTTCAAAATCACACTTTAATGTCACACACTCAAATGCCCTCCATCATGAAGTCTTCTTCCCTCATCCCTCAAAAGTGTATTCCTTTCGGGGCACCTGGGTGGCTCAGTCGGTTAAGCATCTGCCTTTGGCTCAGGTCATGATCCCAGGGTCCTGGGATGGAGTCCTGCATCGGGCTCCCTGCTCTGCAGGAAGCCTGCTTCTCCCTCTCCCACTCCCCCTGCTTGTGTTCCTGCTCTCGCTCTCTGTCAAATAAATAAATAAAATCTTAAAAAAAAGTGTATTCCTTCCTTAGTTCAGTCAACAAGCATTTACCATGCTAAGTGCCTCGAGTCAAAACCGAACAAGGAATAGTCCCTATCTCACATGAGAGAGGCCCAGAGAGGAATAAGCAGATAGTTAACAATAGAGAAGTAGTTAACAGTGGGCCATGTGAGCAAAAACAAAGCACACGCCTTCCTGTATTTGCACTATGGATACTTATGAACACTTTGAAAAGAGACACAACACTCAAAATTTGGAATAGAACATTCCTTCAAAAAATTTATTTGGACAAACTTTACCAAATGCAATTTCTTCTTTTGTAATGACTGCTGGCTTGACATGACAGAGATACCATTTAGCCAATTTTTTCAAAGGAAGAATGTCTTTGTGTAATGGAAATATAATGAGAGTCCAATGAATGGTCAACTGGTTTGGAGAGATTAAAATAGTATTAGAATTTTTCTACATCCTAATAAAGATCGATAGACTTACCACACGTTGAGCTGCTATCAATGCTGCTAACGTACTTCGCCCTGGCGCTCCGGGGGCACAGAAGGAAACTTGAACTTTGCTTCCCTTGATGGTCATACCATCAGCTGCTTGCTGAACCTCTTCAGCATGCTCCGCAGTGTTATATTCAACCACTGCAAAGCCACCAACATAACTACCTTCATCCTGTGCAAGCTGATTTAATACATTTTATTAAAAGGAGAATTCTAATATTCAGTTAGAAATATTTATTTTCAGTATATAATTTTCAGATTCAAAAACAAATGTATCAGAGCATGACACTGGTGAAAATAATATATTCTTTCTCCCTAAAATTAAAAGTTTCCTAGCTGTGGGATGCCTGGCTGGCTCAGTTGGGAGAGCATGCGACTCTTGATCTCAGGGTCATGAGTTTGAGCCCCAAGTTGGGTGTAGAAATTACTTTTTAAATGAATAAATAAACAAACAAATAAATAAAAAGTTCACTAGCTGCTTCGATACAGTCCTTCCTGAAGACAGGATGATAAACAAGATTCTGTCAAGTTTCTTTTTAATTCTTTGATTTTTCTATTTTAAAAGCCAAAGCTCAAATGATAATATTCCCTCTATATTAAGAAAGATGTATAACTGATAATTTAGACACAGAAAAATATGGAAACACAATAACTAAAACTTTCTTTAAAATAAATTTACCAGCTACATGGACAATGAAAGATACTGAACAATTATTTGACCACCTATCTATGCAAATTAAAGTTTGTATTATCAAGAGAAGAAATGTAGGAGGAACCATATTCAACTTTTAACTCAGTAATTGGGAAGATCTCAGGAATTTGGTCAAGTTTTCCAAAGCAAACCTTATTTGGGAAAACTGTGCCCCAGGTTTGTTAAAATGCCATATGCAACACACAAGCTTTATTTCTGGATGTGCCCTAAATAAACTCCTGCAGTGTAGAACTCGATTTATTTCCAGTCACCCACCTGTAAGAGTGTAAAGGAAGATACTAAAGTCCTGGATCTGTAAAGACTGGTACAAAGAGCAAAAATAAGAACAAAATAAGGCACTAAAAAGTTTCTAAGTTTTGAATAGTCTGAATTATCTTAAACACATTCACGCAATAAACTGGTAAATGTGATAAAATTCAGCATGTTATGTCTTTGAGAAAACACATCAACAACACCTGTTTGGATTTCACATCTCATAAGTTAATATTACGATTAAATAATTTCTGTCTTTTTTAATTTCTGTCTCTTATTTCTGAAGCTTTACTTTCTTGTATTGTTAGACCAAATTTCTATTTTTCCTTCACATTCTTCCTTTTAAAACTGTCCTCAAATGTCTTTTCTTCCACAAAACTGTTTCCAATCACATGACAGAAAGGGAAAACATCTACCTCCTCCAAACATTTCTCCTCAACCCCATTCCTCTTATAATCCAAACCAGATATTACGATCAGATTTGTAAAAGCCATCAGTCTTTGGTGTCCCTTGATCACAAGATAAGAGACTATCTTCAATATAGTCCATGTCAACCTACCAAGCAAAAGAGCCTGAATGTCATAGATCCACTGATAAAGGCATCATAAAAGTTTCATTAATCTTTTGAGAACTTTTGAAACACATTATTATTCCTGGTTCATTATGGTAGCTTTCATGCCTATGTAAATTATAATACCATTTTAATTCTTTCAAAAGACAAAATCATCTAAGTCCACAGCATCAGTAGTTTTAAAGAGGAGTATTTCAATTCAGTAGGAAAGCCATTCAAATAAGTAATGGTCTGACTTCAGATCTAGTTAATTTTCCATTATTTTGAAACATTTTAATAGAAGCTAAATGGTCGCTCGCAAATAATATAACAAACATTTTTCTACCCCTGGCAACCTAGATTAGAGAATCTCTCATGTACCTTCCAACTCTGGGATTCATAACTCAAATACAAGTTGTGATCAATAGGTTTTCCCTTCACATTTGCTTCAAAGGCCTCAACTACAGCTACAAAGACTTTTGTTTGACCACAGAACATCACTGTATAATTTTAGTATCCAAGAAAAGGATATGGATTAGATATCACCATCTATCACCTTTCAATAACTAACTGGGCAAAGATTTGATAAAAGATCTGTCACAAAATTTTCTAATTTTATGATGCTCTTAGATGGTTACTTTGATGCATATATTGGGATTGGAGGGGTAGAAATATAAGAAAAAGATGGTAGCATTAATCTATTATTAATATAATTATAGTTATATGTATTAAATATAGTTATGTAGTTAGTTATGTATAATCTATATTTCTATATTATAAAATATATTTATATAAACATGATATATAATACATTATAATTATATATAGTTATATATTATATATGTGGTTGTGTGTGTGTGTGTGTGTGTGGAGATATATATATATGTAACTTATATATATATAAAACTATAACTCTAAACTTTCTACTGTAATAGTAGAGACTCAACAAATGTATGATTAAAGAAAAATGGTGGGGTGGTGGGGGCAGGGAATAGGTGGTAAGAAGAAAAGGAGCATGGGAGGAGAGAAGAGAGGGAAGGAAGAAGTTAAGGGAAGCAAGAGAGAAAAGAGTTCATCAGTTGCTACTGAACATCTACCAGGGAAGGAGCGTTATACAGTATATATTTTTGTTTATTTAGAATATATTTAATTTTACTGATCAAGCACATGAAAATTCTTACCACTGTTGTCAGTTTTCAGGATCTTCTCTAAATGTCTCACCATGATCCCATTAACACAGAATTATACATTCTTTTTAAACCTCATAATACTTTCCTATCTTCCATTACATTATCTTTATACAGGATTTATAATTATTTGCTTGTCAGTACCTTCTACAAAATTGTAAGGTATTGAGATAGTACGTTTCTATTCTCTGTATTTCTAACTTTTAGTAATATAGTGTCTGGCACAGAGAAGATAATAAGTAAAACTTGGATGGATGAATGGATCAGTGGATGAAGGGCTCAACAAATGGATGGGATGAGGTGAATGAGTAAGTGACGGGTTTGCTAAGACATACTTAACTATACAATAATATAGGTTGACTCATCCACAAAAGGAATTGACTTAAAATTTAGAGTGGCCTCAAAGTCTTCATCACAGACTAAAGAAGACTCAGATTATCCATTGTGATATTCACATAGGTATAATAAATTTGTGAGTGCATGCAGAATACATAGGCAGAAATTTTCAAATATTTCAAATGATACCTTCAGAATACATACCTGGCAAAACACAGGTTTATGTATATTGGAAAAAAATTGCAACAGCTCCTCTGAATCCCTGTAGTCACTAGGGAGTTTATCTATACAAAGGCACTTAGAATGAATGAGCTCTGCAGCCAATAGATTAACATCCATCCATTGTGCAAAGACAGCTGATGCTCCCAATTGTTTACCCAATAACTCCAATCTAGCCTTTGCAGCAAAGTCCTTTTTCATGTATTCCACAAATCCATAGCCTTTGGAATGGCCAGTAACTTCACTGTAGACTAGAAAACATCTCTCGATATTTCCATAAGCACGAACAAGTTCTTCAAACTCTTCTAATGTAAAAGAAGTGGGCAAGTTGGTAATACACAGCAAAGCATCTGTTGGCTGGAGCTGAACAATTAAGTCCTTTCCTCGAAAAGAATACTGATGAAACATCTGAATTGCATTCTGGGCTTGCTCCCCATTCAGTAAGGTAACAAAAGCTAGAAGATAACAAAATGAAATAAAGAATTTTCTAAGCCAGTGTTTTCAAACTTTTTTAATGATCCACAGTAAGGAACATATTTTTCGTCTGTGACTTGGTACACACATACACATTTCCAAAACAAAAGTATCAAGAACTAATACTCCTACCACATGCAATGCACGCTCATATTTCTATTCTATTTCATGGTGCTTTTTAATACTGACGCTACCCACTTAACCAATTTCATGACCAGTGACTCAAATTAAAGTATAGGAATTATATTAGGGGTTCCACGGGGTGCCTGGATGGCTCAGTTGGTTGGACGTCTGCCTTCCACTTGGTTCGTGATCCCGCAGTTCTGGGATCAAGCCCTGCATCAGGCTTCCTGCTCAGAGAGCAGTCTGCTTCTCCCTCTGCCCTTCACCCCGCTCGTGCTCTCTCTCTCTCTCAAATAAATAAAATTAGAAAAAAAAAGTTCCACTATAACATCTACTACAATGTTCTGTTTTGTTTTTTATTTTTACAATATTTTCAAACTGCGTATTTTTCCCAACTATATGTAATGCAAAATTTTGTGAAGTCTTAAAAATTTTCTTTCATACTGAAGCACCTAAATACATAAAGCAAATATTAACAGACACAAGGCAAGAAACTGACAGTAATACAATAACAGTAAGGGACTTTAAAACCTCACTTACATCAATAGATAGATCATCCAGGTAGAAAATCAATAAGGAAACAATGTCTTTGAATGACACATTAGAGCAGATGGACTTAACAGATATGTACAGAACATTCCATCCACAACCAACAGAGTATACATTCTTTCCAAGTTCACAGGGAACATTCTCCAGAATAAATCAAGTTTCAATAAATTCAGGAAAATTGAAATCCTATCACATATATTTTCTGATTACAATGTTATAAAACAAGAAATCAATCACAAGAAAAAAAATGCAAAAAAACCCCCACAAACATGGAAGCTAAATAACATGCTACTAAACAGCCAATGGGTGAATAAAGAAATCTAAAAGGAAATTTAAAAATACATGAAAACAAATGAAAATAAAAACACAATGGTCCAAAATCTTTGGGACACAGCAAAAGCAGTTCTAAGAGGAAAATTTATAGGGATACAGACCTACCTCAAGAAACAAGAAAAATCTCAAGCCATCTAACATAATACCTAAAGGTACTAGAAAAGGAAGAAAAAACAAAGCCCAGAGCCAGCCTTCTTTCCAGAAGGAAGAAAATATTAAGATCAGAGCAGAAATAAATTAGGGACTAAAAGAACAATAGAAAAGATTAATGAAAACAAGAGCTGGTTCTTTGAAAAGATAAAATTGTTAAACCTTTAACCAGATTCATCAAGAAAAAAAAAAGAGAAGATACAAATAAATAGAATCAGAAATGAAAGGGGAATTAACAACCAACACCACAGAAGTACGAAAGATTATAAGAGAATACTACAAAAAATTATATGCCAACGAATTGGACAACCTAGAAGAAATGGATACATTTCTAGAAACGTATCATCTTCTAAAATTCAATCAGGAAGAAATAGAAAATCTGAACAGACCAATTACTAATAACAGAGTTGAGTTGGTAATCAAAAACTTCCAACAAAGAGAAGTCCAGGACCAGACTGCTTTACAGGTTTATTCTACTTTTAATTTAAGCAAGAATTAATACCGATTGTCCTCAAACTATTTAAAAAAAAAATAGAAGAGAAAGGAAAGCTTCCAATACATTCTACGAGGCCAGTATTATCCTGATATAAAAGCCAGACAGAGATGCTATGAAAAAATAAAATTACAGACCAATATTCCTGATGAATATAGATGCAAAAATCCTCAACAAAATATTAGCAAGTGTATTCAGCAATACACTGAAAGGATCATTCACCTTGATCAAGTGGGATTGATTCCAGGGATGCAGGGAGGTTCAGTATTCACAAATCAATCAATGTGATAAACCACATTAACAAAACAAAGAATAAAAATCATACAATCATCTCAATAGATGCAGAAAAGGTATTTGACAAAATTCAACATCTGTTCATGATAAAAGCTGTCAACAAAGTGTGTTTAGGGGATACCTTAAGCTAAATAAAGGTCATTCATGAAAAACCCACAGCTAACATCATAGTCAATGGTAAAACACTGAAAGTTTTTTTCTCTAAGATTAGAAACAAGACAATGATGTCCACTCTTTTTATTCAACATACTACTGCAAGTCCTAGCCACAGCAAATAGACAAGAAATAAAATTCATCCAAATTGGTAAGGGAGAAGTTAAACTGTCACTATTTGCAGATGACCTAAAGATTCCACCCAAAACTATTAGAATAAATGAATTCAGTAAAGCTGCAGGATTCAAAATTAATACACAGAAAACAACTGCCTTTCTGTACACTAATAATGAAGTAACAGGAAAGAGAAAGAAAACAATCCCATTTATAATTGCACCAAAAAGAATAAAATGCCTAGGAATAAATTTAACCAGGCAGGTAAAAGACCTGTACTCTGAACACTATGACAATGATGAAATTGAAGATGGCACAAACAAATGGAAAGATATCCCATGCTCCTGGACTGGAAGAACCAATACTGTCAAAATGCCCATACTACCCAAAGCAATCTACAGATTTAAAGCAATCTCTAACAAAATACAAACAGCATTTTTCACAGAACTAGAACAAATAATCCTAAAATTTATATGGAACCTCAAAGGACCTCAAAAAGCCAAAGCTATCTTGAGAAAGAGGAACAAAGCTGGAGGTATCACAATCCCAGATTTCAAGATCTACTACAAAGCTGTAGTAACAAAACAGTTTGGTACTGGCACAAAAACAGACACATAGATCAATGAAACAGAGAGCCCCCAAATAAACCTATACCTATATGGTCAACTAATCTATAACAAAGGAGGGAAGAATATACAATAGGGAAGAAAGTCTTTTCAATACATGGTGCTGAGAAAACTAGACAGCAAAATGCAGAAGAATGAAACTGGATCAGTTTCTTACACCATATACAAAATACACTCAAAATGAACTAAAGACCTAAATGTGAGACCTGAACCCATAAAACTCCTAATGGTTGAAAAAAAAGGCAATTATCTCTTGGACATCACCCTTAGCAACATATTTATGGATACGTCTCCTTAGGCAAGGGAAACAAAAGCAAAAATAAACTACTGAGTCTATACAAAAATAATTTGCCCAGCAAAGGAGATCATCAACAAAACAAAAAGACAACCTAATGAACGGGAGAAGAGATTTGAAAATGATATATCTGATAAAGTGTTGATACCCCAAACACATAAACTTACACAACTCCGCATCAAAAAAAAAAACAAAAAACAAAAACAAAAAACCCCACAAAAACAAAACAAAAAAACCAAACCAATCTGATTAAAAAATAGGCAGAGGACCTGAACAGACATTTTTCCAAAGAAGACATACAGATGCCAACAGATACATGAAGAGATGCTCAACATCACTCATCATCAGGGAAATGCACATCAAAACCACAATGAGATATCACCTCACACCTGTCAGAATGGCTAGTATCAAAAAGACAAGAAATAACAAGTGTTGATGAGGATGACGAGAAAAGGGGACTCTTATGAACTATTGATGGGAATGTAAATTAGTGCAGCTGCTGTGGAAAACAGTATGGAATTTCCTCAAAAAATTAAAATTAGTAATAGTAATTCCACTACTGGGTATTTAATAAAAAAATGAAAACATTAATTTGAAAAGATATATGCACCCCTGTTTACTGCAGCATTATTTACAACAATTAAGGTATGGAAGCAACCCAAGTGTCCATTAATGGATGAATGGATAAAGAAGATATGGTGTATATATACACAACAGAATATTACTTGGCCATAAAAAAGAATGAGATCTTCATTTGCAATTACATGGACAGACCCAGAAGGTATAATGCTAAGTAAAATAAGTCAGACAGAGGGAGACAAATACTATATGATTTCACTAATATGTGGAATCTAAAAAACAAATGAATAAACAAAAACAAAGAACAGGTACCTGGCTGGCTCAGTCAGTTAGAGTATGTGACTCTTGATCTAGGGGTCATGAGTTTGACCCCCATGTTGGGCATAGACTTTACTTAAAAAAACAAAAACAAACAAATACAGAGAGCAAACTGGTTGCCTGAGGGGATATGGGGGAGATGGATGAAATATATAAAGGAAATTCAGAGGTACAAACTTCCAGCTATGAAATAAGTGATGGAGATGAAAAGTACAGAATAGGGAAATAACAGTCTGTGACACTGTAATGCTGTACGGTGACAGATGGTGACTACATTTATTGTGGTGAGCACTGGGTAATGTATAGAATTGTGGAATCAATACGTTGTACACCTAAAAAAAAGTTATACACCTGAAATATGACACCGTATCTTAAATATACTCCAATGAAAAAATTGAAGGATACCAAGCCTATAAAAATTTATAACATCATAACATATATTAGAAAATTCTTTATAAAAATGTCTCTAGTGACATACATATTAATTATTTGATTATAATTTAGGATACTAATGTTATCTTCAGAAAATACATTGTGAGTAGCATTTATATGATTTAATGCTTAAGAATTACAGAGATTATCTTATGAATGAAAAGACAGTAAACTTTTTTGTTTAATAATGCACACATTTAGAATCAAAATGAAACCAGGTGCTTAAAATTGCAATCTTACCTGTTCGCTTATTTCTGTCCACATAACAATACTTTAACTCAAAGTCTTGTAATAAATCGTGAACTTCCTGAAAGAGACAAAAGATGAATTCAAATAAACACACAAATGTTTGGATTTGTGTGGATAATCCAGACGTACTAGCCAACCACTACCACCACCATTTGCCATGTGAAAAACCTTTCATGGATCTCTATTATTTAACTTAAAGGCATTCCAGAGCCACCAAATATGACATCAACCTACCTTCCCAAGTATATTTCCCAGTACAGAACCTGCATATACATCATGTTTCTGCTCAGTGGGCATTCACTGTTTCACCAGGATGCCATGCACAATCCTCACTCTGAATCTCTACTCACGTTGATACCTTGACCTTGCATGGTGCAAAGATACCACACTAATGCTCCTAAACTTCACCTGAAATCGCATGCATCCTTTGAAATCCAGCTCAGATATTCTTTCATGAAGTTTTTTCCAATTTTATTTATTTATTCATTTATTTACTTACTTAATTATGATTGAGAGTGAGAGCACAAGCAGTTGGGGGGGGGTTCTGGCACAAAGAGAGGGAGAGAGAGAATCCCAAGCAGGCACCATGCTCAGCATGGAGCCCAACGTGGGGCTCGATCTCATGACCCTGAGATCATGACCTGAGCTGAAATCAAGAGTCAGACACCCAACTGACTGAGCCACCCAGGCACCCCAAGTTTTTTCCAGTTCTTTTCTGCGGGATAAGACCTCTACCACCTCTATGCTAACAATGGCCATACTTTATTTATGCCTGTCTTACAGAAATAATATTAAACATTTCTCTTCGTATACGACACATACTGAGTTTTAAACAAGTAATACACTTGTAGATGCTGGAGTACCAGCAAAGAGAATTAATACAGGTAGACTGCAAACCTAGAGATCCCTGGGTATAAAAACAATAACCACCACCAAGGTATGTATGTAATTCAATTTATTTCCCCTTGGCTCCCCAAGATCTTGAAACTGGCTTTCTTGTTCATTCTGCTTCCATTATTAATCCAGTCTGAACTCGTTTGTTCTGGTCTTTTACCCACCTGGGGTCCTAAAAAAGCAGATTTCTATTCCTAATCCTTCCTGTTAAATTGATAATACTTGAGTACAGGAACCATCTCATATATCTGTATATGACCTCTATTGCTCTGCAAATGCTAGGCTCGCAAATATACACTAAAGTGAATCAGATTTTGTCACTGAATTGATACTTGGACTTGAAAAATTTACTCATAATATACAACAGATGGAATTATTTTCTAAAGGAACTGGACTATCGCAAAGGTAGACTTTCTGATCCTAGATTGGAAAGTTATAGCCAACTTGTTCTATCTTGCATATGAATAAATTAAACATACACAAGTGTCAGTATGTTAAGTTCACAACAGAAACTAACTCAATAAGAATTCTTATTATTGCCATTATTACAGTTAACTTTCATTTAGCTTTTATTAAGTACCAGAGCACTGAACTCACCATTTTTTATTAAAAATCGGGAAATTGGGCCTGACACTGACAGGGCTACCTGACAGAAAAGTGCATGCTCTTGACTCTTGGTCTTGGGGTCGTGAGTTCAAGCCCCATGTTGGGTGTAGAGATTACTTAAATAAACTTTAAAAAAGGGTGGGGGCACCTGGGTGGCTCAGTAAAGAGCATGTGACTCTTGATCTCAGGGTTGTAAGTTTGAGCCTCATGTTGGGTGTAGAGATTACTTAAAAATAAAATCTTAAAAAAAACCCAACTTTATAGAAAATAAATAAATAAATAAAAATCAGAAAACCATAGCAGAGCAAAATCCAGTAACTTGCTGAGTGGAGATTCACCAGTCTGGCACCCTTAACCCCTATACCATACTACCATATATTCCTTCCAGAATTAACTAAAAATAATATACTACCACTAATAGTTACAAACACAATATCATTAGTGCCCTAATATGTGATCACAAAATGGAAAATAAATAAGTGGACAGTTACAAGTTGAGACATATTTTCCCTTTTAACACAATGCAAGGGGGAAAAGAATGATATAATAGGCAAAGTATAAAAACATAATGCTGGGTGGAAAAAAAGATAATCACCTATGAAAAGAAATTATAGAAAGGTAAAGTTGATAATTTAGTATTCTCTATTAGTAAGTCAATATTAGATATGTTTTAAAACATATATACTATCAATTTCATAAAATAGGGTTTGATGAATTATACAGAAATATGATCAATATACAGATTAGTTTACATCTTACTATGGTAGTTTTTTATCTTGTAAGCTTTAGTGTTTCTTTGGACTTAAAGCATACGGTGTACTCATTAAGAAGATATAACTCTCTCAATAGCATAGCATATACATCTTGCCAATCGGCTAATTTAATCCTTAATATAGAAGGTGGCACAGTTTTGTTTGAAGGGATCCAGTGCATGCTTTTAGTGGCACAGACTCTAATCTCTCATTTCACTAGTTAACAGCTGTCAAATGCCAGATAAAGAAAACATGACACTGCTCTTCACATTATCAAGTATCTGTAAACAAATGACATGTTATGTTACTCATTCAGCTGAGAGAATTACCAGAGATCTTATGTATGCAAAGATGCATTTTGCAACTTAAAAATTTTATTTCCAAAATACCCCTATTTCAAATTGTAGCTTTTCTATGCATTAGTTGTGGGATACAGAATTTGCCAGCTGGGAAACCTTACAAAGCTTTTTGCAAAGAGAAAAACAAAAACAAAAACAATTGTTTTCCTCCATATCCTGGTTGTTTTGACCCAGGCAAAAGTGGGTCACCCCTCAATTTGAGCCTCGGTAAGTTGGCCAAATTAAAAACTTAAAACCTGAAAGAGAGCCCTAACAACGATTTGCCAGAATTCTACTCTGCTCCATCACACAGAACCCAAACAACTAAAATTCTCTCTCTCTATTCTAATTGAGTTTTATGACATTTCTATTAACTTACAAGTCAATTTTAAGGAATAAAATAGCACCTTCTGACCAGGAATATCAGTTACAAATTTCTTACAGTAAGATGGGTTCATCAAAACTGACAGTATTAGACAGCTTTAGCAACCTATTTCCAGACCATGTTCCTTATTACTCCCTGGAATTAAATGAAAAGTTTTGGACATATGAAATATTTCCTAGGGAGAGAATCAACAGCCACAATGAAACCCAGCCTTAGTTTTCAGCCTGAATCACACTGTCTTCTAAACCCTTTTCCTTTAAAAAAAAAAAAAAAAAATTATTTATTTATTTGACAGAGAGATACATAGCGAGAGAGGGAACACAAGCAGGGGGAGTGGGAGAGGAGGAAGCAGGCCTCCCACGGAGCAGGGAGCCTGATGTGGGGCTCTATCCTAGGACTCTGGGATCATGACCTGAGCTGAAGGCAGATGCTTAACTGGCTGAGCCACCCAGGCACCCCTAAGCCCTTTTCCAACTTACTTTTATTTCTTTTTCCTAAGAAAGGCTTTCACAGATTAAAGCACTCTGCTTTCAAATTCCATTTTAGAAAAAAAAATATTTTTGCTGCTTGTCCTTTAAAATTTTAGGTGATTTGATAATACGAAAAGATTAGTCTGTAACATATTAAGTTATGAGGCATAATAATGAAATAAGCACCTGGGAACTCACTACCAAACCTAAAGACTAGAACATCAGCAACACTGTTCCATTGACTTCTGCATTCCTTTGCTAGCCCATCCTGCCACTTTCCCCCATGTGTGGGCTGCACACACTTTTGTAAGAAAGTGCCAACTTGTTTGCTGGAATGGTTGTAGCAGCTTACATATCCATGAAGAGTATATGAGAGTCCCACTGATACATAACCGTACAATGCTTGGTGTTACCAGATACTTAAGTTTTGGCAATTTAGTTGGTATAAAATTGTACATCACTGTGATCTTAATTTGCATTCCCTTGAATGCAAATTAGTAAAGGTAGGGCATTGTGATGATTAGTTTTGTGTCAACTTAGCTATAGTATCCAGCTATTTAATTAAACATTAATCTAAGTGTCACTGTGAAGGATTCTAGATGTGGTGAGTATCTACAATCAGTTTACTTTATGTAAAGGAGACAACCTTACATAACGTGAGGTGGCCCTCATCTAATCAGCTGAAGGCTGTAAGAGCAAAAACTGAGAAACTGAAGTTTCCTGGAGAAGAAATCCTGCCTCAAGACAGTAGCATCAACACATGCCTGACTTTCTAGCCTGCTGGTATACCTGACAGATTCTGGACTTACTAGTTCCCACAATCAATCAATAGCTCTATGTATATCTGTATATAATATAAATAGATGTTAATATAAATATTACATACAATCTCTTTCTTTGAAGAACTCTCATATAGGCATCTTTTCAGGTTTATTTGCCATTTATTTCCCTTTCTGGAAAACACTCATCTTGATGGCCATTTTTCTATTCTATTTGTCTTTTACTGATTTGTAGTTTTTTTCTTTTTTTTTTTAAGGATTTTATTTATTTACTTGACAGCGAGAGAGAGAGAGAAAGAGAAGGAATACAAGCAGGGGGAGTGGGAGAGGGAGAAGCATGCTTCCAATGGAGCAGGGAGCCCGATGCGGGGCTCGATCACATGACCCTGGGATCATGACCTGAGCCAAAGGCAGACGCTTAATGACTGAGCCACCCAGGCGCCCCTGATTTGTAGTTTTTTAAAAAATATATTCTGCATACTAATTCTTTGTTGGAAACTGTATTATAAATGTGTTCCCCTACTATGTGTTCTGTCATTTTATTTGTGAGTTTTCCTGGTGAAGAGAAATTTGTCATTTTAATGAAGCCAAATTTATAATTCTTTCCTTTACCATTTGTTTTGTGTGCCTTAAGAAATCCTTTCCTACCCAAATCATAAAGACATTTTGTGTTCCAACGGTTTTTAAATTTTCCTTCTACTAATCAGTTTTGGGTCAGTTAGCCATATTATGCTAGTTACAATTCCCAGTACAATCTTCAATGGAAGTGATGCCAGCATTGTTCCTAATCTCAGAGGTAAAGTTTTCACTATTTCACCACGGAATATGATTGCT